TAAGCCGTGAAGAGTGAAAGACCATTAGTCATCCCGAAAACATGTTTGGAAAAAACACCTGGTATACAGATGGATCAAAGACCAAACATGGAACGGGAGCTGGAATATACCGAGCGGATAGAAGTTTAAACTACAGTTATCCGCTAGGACACATCCGTCTTTCAGGCGGAAGTGTATGCTATCTTGCAGTGTGCAAGGCTTATTAAATTGAGACCTCAAGGAAATGAGCGGATCATTTTTCAACAGACAGCAAGAGCGCACTACACTCACCCTCCATACTCTACAGATACTGATACAGATCCTCAGCAACTTCTCCAATAGTAATTCGATGATTCTTTATAACAATTTTCTTTCCTTCCTCAACAAAATTCTGAACATGCTAAATAGCTAAAACTGTGAACAAATTCGAAACGAGTATACCGAGATGAAAAAATTAAAAAATTGCTAATCAATTTTGAACATCCACTTTATTTTTTGAACAGGCCTTGTACATTAGATATTGAATTATCAATGATGACCTGGAAAGTAAACTTTGCCATTTTAATTTCAACAGTCTTAATCGTACGAAAAATACAGAGTAAACAAAAACCTCATGCGTGGTTACATACTCATAATTGTTATTTTTCTTCTTTTGAAACAAACATCAATTGGCTGACTCCGTACCATCAGAACAATGGTGTTTACATACTTCCAACACAATGTATAACAGAAAATTTTATGCGCTGTTGTAGATTTGGGAGGTGAGAGATCTTGGGATTCTACTTCATTCAAAATCATATCTTTTGTGCAGCATTTTCAGTGTTCTATTGTTCAAGTGTAACGTCACACTTGGCATGCATTGCCAAGTGTGTGAAAATGATACATTAAATGCAGAAGATATAAATATACAACTATCAAAGCAACTATTAAGCTCATGGCAACAATAGGAAATATATTTGGTCAACATAAGACAAATTTCAATGCAAATGTTTTGAAAAATATGATTTGTCCCTTCTTAGGTTTACTAGCAAATTTAACGGTTTTACGAGGGTGGTCTGAAAAGCTTCCCTCCTCAACTTGAAGATGTTAGCACTTGTAAATAAAAGCTAGTGAATTTCATTGTTCATCTGTTGACAGTTACTCACCAAAGTTTCAGCCATTTTGGACGCGCAGTTTTTATGCATTAGTCGCTTCAGTGAGTTGATGTGTGTTTTCATGAAAATGGACAAAATCGAGTATCGATCTGTCGTTAAATATTAGTTTTTAAAAGGCAATACGCCTGCGCAAATCAAAGGTGAATTGAATTATGTGTATGGGAACATCACAGTAAATTTTTGGACAGCTGAATTTAAACGTGCCCGTAAGAGCTTGGGAAACGATGAACATTCCGAACGTCCAAAAACTGCAACTACCGACGAAAACATCACCTTAATTCACCAAATGGTGCTAGACGACTGCCGAATTGAAGTGAGAGAGATAGCAGAGGTTATGAACATGTGAAAAAAGAACGTTTTTGTGCGATTTGCGCACGTTGAGATTCCAAACAGTGTACTTCAAAAGGAGAACCTGCTCCAAAACACGCAAAAACTGATTTTTAGGCTGGGAAAGTGATGGCGACTGTTTTTGGGATAGTCATGGAGTTATTTTAATCGAGTATCTTCAAGAAGGAAAAATCAATACAGGATCATACTACGCATAACTACTTGACAAGCTGAAAGAACTGTTTCACCAAGACAACGCATCGTCTCACACCTAAGCGGTTGCCATGGAGAAAATCCACGAATTACGGTTTGAACTGTATGACCATCCGTCTCACTCACCAAATCTATCCCCAAGCGACTTCTTTTTGTTTCCTCATCCAAGACAAAGATTTTCGTCGAATGAAGAGGCAATCACCTTCGTGAACAATTATTTTGCTAAGAATGTCCATTCAATATATCCAAATCTACAGAGTATTGCCAAAGAAGGTGTAGTTGGTTACTGATGTCACTAATATTAGATTTATAAAGAATGTATATCATTTTAAAGATCATAATACTTGGGTACTACAGGAACGAAAGTTAGTCAAGTAATTTTTTGGAAAATAGATCTGCCTACCTATTTTCGATAAACTGTTACATTGCACAAAAATAACAATATACAGATGTCTCCTCATCCAGCTTCAGCTTCTTCTATACATAACCCACACTGTTTATTTTCATAGGAAGAAAGTTTGGACATAATGGGGCAATACAAACCCGAAATCTTTTGTTAAAGGTAAAAATTATCATCTCATTACGTGTGCTTGCATGCTTGATTTGTTTAAGAGATTATCATCAATATTTCTGTTGATAGTAACTTATTATTTTTGGTATGAACTTTGAATCATTTTATCTAATATGGTGGTTTAGTATGTTCACCAGAAGGGAAAAAACTTCCTAGTCCATGACACCACCTTTTCGGTTAAAGTCACAAGTCTTGCTCGCTAGAAACAGATGGGTCGAAATCTGCCGAATTTGGATTGGTAAGTGGGCGGGAATTCGGTCGAAATATTGAAGAAAACCAATTGATAAATTGTCGACATTTCGAAACTTCAGCACTGTGAAATATATGTCCTGAAGTATAAGTCTTCAAGATGAAACAAAGTTTCGAAACGTCGAAAATTTAACAATTTTTTTTTCTTCAACATTTCGACCGAATTCTCACCAACTTGACAAACGAAAACATATTAAACGGTCGCCATCCTATTCAAGTATACAAACTTTACCGAATCTTTTTAAAAAATAATTTATAGCAAATAAGTACCAGTATTTTTCTAAGAACATACTAAACTTCACTACAATATTTTTGTTACTCAGATATTATTTATACTTTCAGGTTACACGTAGGTATCCATTGTCCAAAAATTATTATTCTGCTACAAAAATAGTAAAAGATAAACATTTTAAAACTGATCAATTTGTACTTATATGGTTTTATTGACTTTGTTGTATGAAGGTTTTTAACTGTGTTCTTAAGGTAGAAGTCAAAGTTGAAGAAAACTTGGGTTTTTTATCAATATTTCAGAAGTTTTATAACTTTTCTCGAACTCAGTACTAGTACTAATGAAGTTTTCTCAGATAGGCCTTTAATTGTTACCGTAAGTTTCCATTTATGAGTTTCTTCGCAGATAGATAATATTTGAAGAACCAACCTAATTGTGTTGTATTTCCTGTAAAAAAATTGCGTTTTATTTACTTTTGGCTTCACTGACGAAGGCAATAAACTAGAAACATATAAGGTCTCCAATTGATTATAGCAAATTCTTGAGGAAATATAGAGAAAGAGTGGGTATGGCGATGGGACCGCAAGACCCATGTATGTTGAACCTCAAAACGATGAGTAGCCACAATCCGTCTCGTATTTCCGATATGTTCCGCTCTTGGTGGAATCAAATGTGCCAAGTCACTTGAACACTTTCCGTGAAAGTATCTCTAGAAGAGAGACAAATCCCCAATCTTTCTTCGATGTTCCAAACTTTCAAAGTTGTTCCCTGTCTCCAGTTAGGCGTATGGCTCTTTCCTGGAAGGAATCCAGCAGCTTCAGGGTATACTTAGGGGCGGAGCTCCATACATGACAATACTGATCTGAAAGTCGTGTTCTGAGCTTTATAAACCATCAAAGGCTGCTAAGGTGTGTACAGATTTCTGGTTTAGAACTGTGTTCTAAGCCATTGAAAAGCAGTCTTTGCAATTCCAGCGACATGATTTTGCCAAGGCATATTGGTGTCGTTTTTAACACCCAAGAAACGTATCGAAGCAGGAAGCGGAATTGTCTGTCGCGACATTATTATATCCGGTTCGGAGACATTTATCTTTTTGGAGAAAATCGATGCCTGGGTTATTGTGGCATTGAATTGAACCTGGTTACCGCAGCCGATGTCCTGGAATCTAAATGGAATGACGAGACAAGTGTGCTGTCGTCAGCAAAGCAATATATTGCTTACTGCAGCTTCTTTCTTTGATATTGAGGGTGCATTTGATAGTACCTTCTTATGCGTCAAGACATCCATGCGTCAAGATATCCTAGTCCATGGCAAATATAGCAAAATAATGGGGAGGGGCATTCAACAGACGCTAAGTATTGTTAGAGGATGGATTGGGAAGAAAGGGCCAAACAAAACGCCATCCAAATCTACCATATTAACATTCAAAAGGATTAAGATAGCGGGATTAGGACCTCTGAAATTTCGAGATGAGCAGGTTAACTTGGAATCGCCATATAGAAAGAATGAAGAGAAAGGCGGAGGTAGCCCTGATGATGACCAAACACATCTAAAGAAAGACAGAAAAGATTGATGGTTGAGCACATAATAACTTCCACTTTTCCTAGCGACCAAAGATAAAATAAGCGACCGCTATTGACAACTTAAAAGAGTGAAAAGACTTACCTGATTGGTTAAAACTGGAGCAATATGAACCACACCAACAGCAGCATTGAAAACACTTTTGAATCAACTACTTTTACACTTTGTATAATGGGGAAATGAGAGTGGTACAATTCAGAGACACTACCTTTTTGGTTGAAGTCACAAATCTTGCTCGCTAGAAACACCTCGTATACAGATGTGTCGAAATCCGAACATAGGATGGGAGCCGAACCAACAAAATGTCTGAATTAGTGTTCTTCCCAAAGAGACTGAATGAGGAATGACGTGAAGAACCGAAACAGCTGCACTAAGTGTTAGGACATTCTGGAATTACAGGCAACAATAAAATCTAAACCAATCATTGGTACGAAGTCATATCAGAGAGACCTTAGGAGCAAGCAAGGGCAGTCAAATCCAGGAAAATATCGAAAAAAAATCAATGATCCATGACCCTGTATTGTTTTCCGCACAATCATATCTTTAACCATTTTCAAAATAGCAATAGTTGGACAATGGAATATGTAACACACTCAATATCGGTTTTGGAAATAGAATTAAGGTTTCTGTATTATGTATTTATTGCTTCAAGATACAGTCCGATAAACCAATTGTAATACTTGTTGAACTTTTCCAGATGGCGTTAACGAGTGTAGGGAAGCTCCGCAGAGAACCCTGCACCAAATGCGCGCTTCCAGTATTCATAGCAGAACGTCTGAACGTAGGAAAACTTCTCTTCCACCGCACCTGCTTCCGCTGCGCGCGGTGCGACAGTCAGCTCACTCTTGCCAACTACTACGAAACAGAAAACAGCGAATTCTGCTGCGAAATCTGCCCGGACGAGGAGAAACTCATGTCGAAAAAAGCTACCGAAACGCTCCTTCTGCGATCTCTGAGCGACGAAGAGAAAAGCGCCAGTTTGAAAATGATCACCAATGACCCAGATGAATTCAGCACCATGTTTGAAACAGCCTTGGAAAGCGTTGGCGGAGACAAGAGTTCGGGCTCAGATTACGCCCAAGCTCGTTCTCAGTTCTTCAAAGCTCAGATTGAAAGTAGCGATTCGGGGGCTGATGAAGAACCTCCCGATCTTCCTAAATCCTCACCTCCCGATCTTCCGAAATCATCACCCCCCGATCTTTCAAAATCCTCACCCTCCGATCTTCCGAAATCCTCACCCCCCAATCTTCCTAAATCCTCACCTCCCGATCTTCCGAAATCCTCACCCCCCGATCTTTCAAAATCCTCACCCCCCGATCTTCCTAAATCCTTACTCCCCGAGTTGGCCAAGAGTGACAAGACTGACCCCAAGGACATAGTAGTGGACAGTGCGCGATCCGATAGCAGTTTTCCTGACAGACCTACCAGTGTAAATATTAGTACTAAAGTTAGTGTTAACAAAAGAGAAAGTTCCAGCCCTAGGCTGGATGAATCTCGTAATGTTGTTACCAAAGATGTATCCGCACAAGAGGGTGACGTTTCATTGGTCAAAGCTCGAATGCGATTGTTCGAAAGTAATCACTCTAAAGATTCTGATATTAGTAAGTCTGATGTATATAGAAAATCACAAGGTAGTGAGAAAGTGCCTAAAAAGCAAGAAAAATCGCCCGTAATAACCATTCCACTTATTAGGTTAGAAGAGTTAGAAAATTTCGACGACCGTTCGAACAGAGAAGATGATAAAATCATCGCTGAACCAATAGTTTCGATAGATAAGGACGAAACAAAACACAGCATTCAAGAGGACATTGTTTCAAATAAAGACATTGTTGAAGAAACCCCGTGCACTAATCAGGAACCGGAAGTAAAGCCGATTCAGGATAGTCCAATCAGTGACAAAACAGAAAACGTAGAACCTGTGAATGAGGAATCAATCCCAGCTCAGGACATTGGTGTTGAGCCAGAAGACTCGATCATCATAATAGATTCCATGGAGGAAAACGTTGACGATATTATACTAGTAGATGACTCACCACAGAAGACTGATCCCCCAGTAGCTGATGCTAATTCGGAGATGAACGATAATATCAATGATGAATCTGTTATAGCACAGCCAAAAGAGAGCGAATACTCTTTCGCATCTACTGTGTCTGTAATTACATCTGACGACAGTGAAAAATCCCCTAGTGCTGTGAAAGAAGACGAAGAGGTACCTCCACTGAAAGGACCCTGTGAAGAAGAAAGCCCATCAAAATTGTCCCTGGCAGATAACTCGATTTCCTCTTCATTCACGACTTCGGCAGAATACCCTGCAGAACTGGATCCGTTTGGAGAGGAAGCTGAGGATGAAGTAGGTAAACCTGAAGACTCTTGCAACCGATCCCTCAATCCTTTCGGTAGTGAGGACGAGGAAGAGCAACCTGAACCGAAGAAAAAGATTATACCGAGTGTTTCAGACGGACTCATAAAAGGGACTCCAGATCACCTCTCCAGGGTACATGTGGAGAGGATAAGCATAAATCCCTTCGATGAAGATCCCAGCGAGAAACCTTCCAAGCCTTTGGTAAGTCCGAGAATGAGGAAGAAGAAGGTAATTCCCAACGCAGCCGATCGAGATATACAAGGGACTCCTGATCACTTGGCAGGTGTACTTATAGAGAGGGTTAGTGTGAATCCATTCGAGTCTCCTAAACCAGTAGCCAGAAAGAAAAAACTTATTTCACCCGCAAAAGGGAGCCTCAACCCGTTTTCCAGTGATGATGAAGACCAAGAAGAGGAGGCTGTTAAACAACCTGTACCAAAACCAAGAGTATCAAGGTAATATCTCAATCAATTTTGAAATAATATACAGGGCGGCTACTCATAAGAATTGTTTCTAATATAATTTCATTATAGCCCTAGCCCTAAAGGTCATCTATTCGAATTAATGTGGATGCATGCATTCTATCCGTACCACTTTGTAGTCACTATACGAAGGATAAGTCTTTGTATGGTATCGCGCATGTTGGTGGCATTGAAAAAAATACGCACAACCATTCTTGTATAAATTGCAACACATTCAACCACTTCAAGCGGCTTGCGCTTGTCTGTAGGTGTTCTTCAATTATATGCAACTGCATAACGAAACGTGTCAAGTTCATCAAGTCGTAAATAAATTTCATCATGAACCACCGGATTTTCTCGTAGAAAGTATATAATACCCACATTCCGAACGGAATAGTTTAATGATACACCACCGTATCACACAGATATCTAATTTACCTACATAGATAAACCCGAATGACCGTTATTACAAACAAAACAAAACAATGAGCATCAAGAAAAGCAGCGGTGGCTCAGTACGACTCTCATTCGTGTTGAATTAACTTCTTGGTGTTTACTACAGAAAAAAAAGGGGAAACGCGGTTAAATTCGAATCGGTTCGTCCCTTTTCATGCTCTGCTCTAGCAGTGAGTCATCAAACTGGTTAATATGCGATAAGTGTCTCCTACTGCAATAATATCTTCATTGTTTTATTGGCGGTGTTTTATTCAACTTCGACTGAGAATATTAGATTAGTAATGCTCAAATATCGTGTCACTAGGACGTCAGTTCAACCGGCAGAGCCGAAGCCTAGGGAGACCGGTCAGTTGTCCTTGAACACGAAGATCAATTTTGGGTCGAACTCCTCGATTTCGAGTGGTAGTGCGTACGGTAGTGCGAGGAAGAAGAAGCCCGCTCCCAGGCCGCCGATTCCGACGAAATTCGATGAATCCGCCAACAGTTCCTTGACTTCGAGTCCAAATCACAGTTTGGTAAGTTATTTTTCATTATAGCGCGTCAGATATTGATAGTATCAATGTCCTACGTATTTTTAATAATGTTCGTATGTTAATCTGATCGTTTGCATGATGTGGGTGGTTGTACGTAAGGGTTAAAAGTGAAAAGAAAAAAAATTTAATAGAGCGCGTCAGATTTTCTAAGGGGGTGTTAAGTGCAACAAAAAAAAGCTCTCATTCAATAATCTGACGATTTCGATCTGACGCAAACTCTCGGCCATTATTATAATGTGCAAAAAAATTCGCCATTTTGAAATACTCAAGCGCGTCAGATTAAGATATATATGGTTCATCTTTATGTTTTAGACGTGCTATCTCATAATCTGACGATTATCTGGAGGGATTCGCTTAATCTGACAAAAACAATATTTTTTTTAATTCAATTCATTGAACTTAATTAATTGGAAAAGCTCAGGAAATAGCATGCAAATAAATTAGTGTATGTTTTTTAAGTAGGATACTTGTATTCTAAAAAAATTTAATTTTTTATATACAATTGATTAATTAATGAAGAAAAGAAAAATGAAACTTTCTATGTTTTTTACCACTTTTATTTTTAACTAACGTTACTGCAGTTTCGTCCTATAAGGACATTTTCAAACTTATATTTTGTATAAGTTTGAAAATGTTCTTATATACTTATATATTGTATCAAACTTATATATTATATAAGTTTGAAAATGTCATTATATATTGTATAAGTTTGAAAATGTCCTTATAGGACGAATTTGCAGTAACGTTAGTTACAAATAAAAGTGTTAAAAAACCCAATATATTGATCAATGAAATCAAATGTTATAAAAAAAAATTATATTAGCCTACGAACTTTTTGAACCAGCTGTTTTAATTTTTTAATTATCTCAAACAAAGTTTTCGTTGATATTACTTTCGAAAAATATCTGATGTAAATAATATATAATAATAATAATAATAATAATAAAGGTCTTTATTATTTTCAAATAATATACATATAGATTTTAACATTGTATGCAAAAAAATAAAATAAAAACATTTCTGAAAATAAAGGGCGAAGTTCATTTTCTGCAGACAAACGATAGTTTTACTACGAAAATGTTCTTCCACTTAACCCTAATACAGTGCGTCGAAGAATTCATATGCGTTTGTACATGTAATTGACAAATAGACAATGAGAGAAATGAGTGATAAGTGACGAAAATCGTTATGTTTGTTGGTATGGCAGCGGGGCAGAGGGGTATCTAGACTTGTGTTTTGAATAAATTATTTTTATATTCTGATCTGAAGCAAGTAATACTGAGGTTCTTCAAACTTTCAGGAACGGAATTATATAAATTATAAATTTGGTAGGTGAAAGATCGTCTGAACATTTCAGTTTTGAATTTAGGTGGGGATAATAATCCTTTAAATCGTAGATTTAAATTATGTATGTCTGTCCTGAAAGATATTTTGTTGTACAAATATGAAGGAGTTTTAGATAGAAAAATTTTGTAATATAAAGTGACCGCATGATGAACTCTTCTATTTTCCATATTCAACCATCCAATCTCAATTAATTTATGTGATATTCTCTGATTTTTCCTCACGCCGTATATTAGCCTCAAACAGGAATTCTGCACTTTTTGAATTTTATTTTTGTAAATAGTTGTTAAGTTCGGACCATAGACAGAGTCAGCGAAATTAAAATGTGATAAAACTAATGTTTCGCACAGTTTCATTTTGATTTTTCGAGGAATTAAATGCCTGTTTCCATAAATCAGTTTTAGTGAACCATATGCCCGTCGAATCAATTGATTAACATGTTTTTCGAATCTTAGGTCTGCCTCTATGATAATGCCTAGGTTTTTAGCTTCTTCAACAACAGGGATCAATTCATTATTAATTTCTATATTAATAGGAAACTGAAATCTAGCCCGATTATACATAGAACCAAATAACATTACTTTAGATTTAGCGCAATTTATTAGCAAACAATGTTCAGAAGCAAAATTAATGAACGTCGCCAGTTCCCTATTAATTATTTCAGAAGCATCATCTGCTAACTGCGGAGGAAAAGTGTGATAAATCTGTGTATCATCAGCATAGACATGAATCTTACATTGTTCTAAAGATTTTATTAAATTGATGGTATACACAGAAAAAAGTAAAGGGCCCAGGATTGAACCTTGAGGCACCCCCGAGTTCAATGTCATATATTCGGGCTGATTTGATTCAATTTTTACACACTGTTTACGATTGTCTAAATAATTTTGTATAAGGCCAACAGCCGATTCTGAAAAACCTATATAGTGCAAAATATTAAGCAGTAATTTGAAGTTGACCTTTATCCATTGAGGCAATGATATCATCGACTATATTAAGTAAGGCTGTCGTACAGCTGTAGCCTTTACGAAAGCCAGATTGAACAACAGGCAATAGTGAGTGGTCAGCTAAATGCTGTCTTATCTGTACTTCAATGGATCTTTCTAGAATCTTGGAAAGCATGGGTAGGATACTTATTCCTGATATAAAACTATAAATAGATATAAATGAGTGCTATTGATGAGATAGAGAGTGTACATCTTATTTTTATGAATCATTCTAGTATCTCCAATATGAGTAATAATATCAGAGTTACTTTATTTGAATTTGGAAACCATGTATCATACTCAACTGCAAGATAAAAAAAATTAACAGATTCCGATCTAGTACAATCAAAAATATACCGGGTAGCGAAAATTCAATTCCACACTACTGCTATCTCGGTAACAGTAGAAGATACTATGATGGTTGGATTAGACAAAAAAATGCGCTTTTCAGAATGGAATTATGTTGCTCCCCTAGCTAATACCACGAAGGGCGTTGGATTATATCCAACAGGTGTCAGTGCGGGATTCTTCACAGAAGTAATTCATGCATATGATATTACAACAACTGACTGAATCGATTTGTATATAGGAATAAAAGTTGTTTGCCCTTATTTGAGTATTTGGGCCACGTCGATATGCAGGTGGTTTGTATCTCGACAGGCATAGGGGGCGATGACAAATATGTTCCACAAACTGGGCTTCAGCCTAGGTTGAGGAATGATACTCTGAAAGGAATTCGATTTTTAATTATCGGACATCATCGACTTCATGTTGATGAAAGACACTGCACGGACGAGTGTCCAAATAGTCAGAAAGCGGTCTGCAATCATTAAAAATCGATTCCGGCAGATGTATCGCCAACAGCATATGGAGGAATTACATCTGTGAAGAATCCTGCGCTTACACCAGTCGGATATAATCCAACGCTCTTCGTGGTATTAGCCAGGGGAGTAATTGGTTTCTAATATGTGTCAGTCCACAAGCCTACTGTGTATCATTTTCACTATAAAGAGTATTACAAAAACTGCGACACGTGTTTCGCTATACAATAGCTTCCTCAAGCGGAGTTTTCGCTAGCGAAACACGTGTCGCGGTTTTTGTAAATCCCTTCATAATGAAAATCGTACAATAAACTGTATTAATCAGTTTTACTATGGATTTTCATCTAGTATCGGCCAGTTCTATTCAATTATGAAATTGTTGAGTTTGGTTTTTCTGCTCTGTAATTTTTATCGAGCAAAATTTGAAATAATGTATGAAGGTTTTTGATCGAACTTCTTGAGGGCTACAATATGGACTCATTTTACTTTTTGTATGACGATTTTATTATTTCAAATACGTACCTTATTTTTTTCCAACAAATTATGATGGCTTTCTGAATGCTACATTCAACTATGTACCACTTATAACATTTTCTCGATGTTTCACCTTAAAAAATGTCAAATCTGAGTTGATTGTATCTGAAATTTAATAAACCGAAACTTGAAGCCTGTAATGGATATCAAATAATCAATTGTATTTGGAAAAATGTCGAAAATATTCAACTCTGAAATTTCGTGAAAGTCGTTATTCGTTTATACGACAACATGTTATCGTCACGTGAATCAAGTTACCATTTCCTTTCATTTTCATTCGATCCATTGTACCCGAAATATTGGAAATCAATACTGAAGTCATAATATCGTAATGCTATTTCTCTGAATGAGGAAACACAACACGAAAAAACACTTTATAGTTCATTCTAGTTGAAAGAGGTATGCAGTAATTTGCACTGATGAAAGCATTAGTGAAAGAGGCATTAAAATTTGCTATAAAAAGTAAAATTGATGAGGGTGACTCTGAGTTGATGAAACGTCGCACAAAAAATAAAATAAGTTCATATTGTCGACGACTTATTCACATTTTTTGACGTTCGTTTAGTATTGTTCCGTCTTTTACATGTTTTTCTATTATAGCAATATTCACCCCATTCGGGAGTGAGACACAAAAAAAACAAGAAAGCTCCTGCTCCTCCTGTTCCGAAATTTGCTTCGACGCCAGTTTCTGCTCAGAAAATGAAGGACTCTCCTATCACGTTCCCATCTCCAATCAAGATGGAAATAACGGAAGATGCTGAAATTCGCAAAAAGATCACTGACGACAATATTGAATCAGAAATCGGGACACACGACGAAAAGGACGTCAAGGATGAAATGAACAGAAATAGGCGAAGTCAAGATCTTTCAACACAAAGTAAGTTTTCAAATGAATAATAGTTCAAAAAACTAAAGGAACAGGCTTTAATAGCATATACACACATCGGAAAAGTCTAGGGATATTTTTAAAAATGGCAATAATTTTTTTTTAGATCGCTTTAGATCGGGAAAAAAAAGTTGACGGGTGATTATTAAACGAATGTAACTTACAACAAAATTTATTAAATGGTCAAAAATACTGAGTGCGCATATAAGCAAAACTAAAAAAAAATATGGCTCTTCTTTGGCACCCCGAAAAAAAATCATAATACAAAAAAAATTGGAATCAGTACAAAGTATGGCCTCCACGCTGGTTTATTACGGCCCTACATCTATCGTGCATCAACAAAATGAGATTGTCAATGTCTTGTTGCCCATTCAGTGATTAAAAGCTCTCTCAATTGAAACGTTGTGTGAATGTTCCCCATATGCGGAGTAATTCTTCGTTGAAGCATGTCCCACACATGCTCGATGGGATTCAGGTCCGGTGATTGTGCTGGTCATGACAATACATCAACTCCTTTGTTGGTGAGCCAGTCAGTCACAAGACGCGCGACATGTGGACGAGCATTATCATGCATTGGGTGGAAGTTTTCACCAACAGCACCAGCAAACGGACGGACGATAGGTAGGAGAATGGTGTCGAGGTACTGTCGAGCTGTGAGGGAGCGATTTGGAAAAACGAGATCGGTTCTGCCGCCGATCGTGATTCCGCCCCATAGCATTACTGTACCACCTCTGTATGTGTGGACTTCCTGGACGTGTCTCAAACGTTCATTATTTCCAGGTCGTCTCCACAGTCTTACTCGACGAGAATCTGGATGAAATCCAAATCTGGATGAAATCCAAATCTGGATTCGTCTGTAAACAAAACTGTGGCCCAATCATTTACATCCCAGTTTTGATGTTCTTGACACCACTCTAATCTTCTACCGCGATTGCCTCTCGACAAAGGTGGACATCTTAGTGGCCTTCTGTTGTGGAGATCTGCTTCATGCAGTCGATTTCTGACAGTATCACGACCAATGGTTACCTGGTGCGTCTGCTGCAACACGTTAACCAACTCAGGTGCTGTGATTGTCGGTTGTCTTCTTGCGGTTGAGACCAAAAATCGGTCTTGAACTGCAGTTGTAGCGCGTTCTCGCCATGGATGTTGTTCAGCTGGACTGCCAGTTTCACGGAAACGCCGCCACAATCGACTGATAACACTTTGGGAGACACCCAAACGAAGAGCTACATCATTTTGTCGCATGCCACCTTGAAGAAGCCCTACAGCTCTATTCATCTCAGCCAATGATAAGTGATGGCGTTCCATGTTAAAGCACAATATTTCCAGTTTAATTGCTGAGCAAGAACTGAATAGAATGTACAAACTCGACACTTTCAGATTATTCATTTTAGCCGAAAACCTACAGTTTGTAAAAAACTTGATAAAAGATTAGTTACCGTTTTTGCAGGCTTTGTTCAACCCATAGAAATCTACAGGGTGGTCGAGTGTACCAATTTAATCGAAATTAAACGACCTCATGCATTTTAAAAATATCCCTAGACTTTTCCGATGTGTGTATTTTTATTAGAAAGACTACGAATTACTACTCGAGAAAGCTAAATTGGATTTTCATGCAAATCTAATAACTCGAACAATAAAAACAAAACAGTCTGGAACCTAGGTAATGGGTAGAGGGAAAAAACAATTTGACATCATTCTCAACCATGGTAATGAGTTGATCACTGATAAAAAAAGGGTGGCTAATACCTTCGATGATTACTTCTCATCAGTAGTAGAAGATAACTTACAAAAACATTTAGGTAGCAATAGCTCATCTATATGCACATCTTCCAATATTTTAATAAACACATTCTTCTTTGCGCCAATAACTGAGAACGAAATTATCGATATTATAAATGGTTTAAAAAATAAAAAAAGCACAGGCCACGACAATATCTCAGTAAGAATCATAAAAGAAAATGGGGTATTGATCTCTAAGCATCTAGCTCACCTGTTCAATCAGTCTATCACAACCGGCAAATTTCCATCACTCTTGAAGACGGCCATTATTATTCCCATTCACAAAAGTAAAGAAACATCAGATGTTACTAACTATCGTCCTATCGCTCTTTTAAGTATTTTCTCAAAAATCTTTGAGAAACTAGTTAACGAGAGAATGGCTAACTTTATGTTGAATTTTAAGATTCTCACTGAATCCACAGTCCACACAGTCAGCTGCCTGTAGTTTTGCTGAAATCATCTATAACTCCCTAGACAATGGTATGCACGTGGCAGGAATATTTTTTGACCTCTCACGTGCATTTGACTGTCTATCTTATGACTTTATTGAAACCAAACTTTTTATTCTAGGATTTAGGGGTGTATTTTTGCAATGGCTCAAACATTTTCTTCCCCAAGGCTCTGTCCTGGGACCGCTTATCTTTCTATTATTCGTCAATGATCTACCCAAATACTTCAACATCAACAACAATAGTCTCACTCTCTTTGCTGACGATACCTCGTTAGCGGTCTCAGCACACAGCCTAGAGGAATTAAAATCATCAACGGAAAGGTTTATAACACCCTTCTCATATTGGTGCAAGTTAAACAATCTGATTGTTAACTTGAATACAACAAAAATTGTCCATTTTAGTTCTTCCATCGGTCTTGATAAACATCCTACTGTCTTTGATATTAGAGGGGTGGAATTGGTATCAACGAATTTTACAAAATTTCTAGGAGTCTATTTGGATGATTGCTTAAGATGGTCTGAACACATTACAGTCACTTGTAAAAAAGTTAACCAAGCGTACTATGCTCTCTCCAGAATAAAACATTTTATGCCCTTGCGTGCCTTGCTGGACGTATATTATAGCTTGGTCTGCAGCCATTTAAGCTACAATGTGGTTCTTTGGGGATATGCCACCAACAAAGATAGGGTTTTTATTTCCCAAAAAAAAAATTATCAGAAAATTATTTGATATCCCACGGAGAGAATCGTGCAAACAGCACTTCATATCATATCAAATCCTGCCATTCCCTTGTATTTACATATTTAAATGCTTACTATACATCCACGATGACTCAACAAAATATAACACAAATTTTTCTTACCAGTTACTCAACCAGAAATGTAAAACTGTTAAGTATTCCTAGACACAGATCTTCTAAATTTGAACAGTCACCTAAATATATGGGAATAAAATTATTCAATCACCTACCTGATCACTTCAAAACCATGAGTTAGATGTCATTCAAAAGAGAAGTTAAAAATTTGCTCCTGTCTAAGGCTTATTACAGTGTCAGTGAATTCCTTTTAGACGACTTCAGTTGATTGCGGTCCAGATTTTATTATTTTATTATACATCCAATTTTGACTATTCTTGTTTTTTTTTTCTTTATATTTTATACATTTTTATACCTACTTTAAAACTACTGAGATATTTTATCTTTATGTATGTTTATTTTCTTTATACTATTTTAACGTGTTGTACTGACATGTCCTATACGTTGTTAACGTCTCAAAGGATAAATAAATATTATCATTATAGCTCCAATATAGCAAACAGCTCCTAACCAAGTATTTATTGTTGCACTTGATATTTCTAAAGCCCTTCAGCTTTCTGGAAGAACGTTCCCTGCAAGTGGCCGTCGATGGATATCTCTCGAATAATTTCATCATCAACGCTGGTGTTTCCCAGGCATCCATATTCGTCCTTTGTCTTTCACTTCAAGGCAACTTATTGTAAAGTAGAGCCCAAACATAATAACGCCTCGTTTATCTTTGATGTTTGAGAATAGTTCTCTGTCAATCCCATAGATAGCGTCTTTGTAAGGGGAGGTGTCGTCACCCCCACTCGAAATTAAGACTTTAAACTCGAAATTTCGACTTTATTCTCGTAGTTTCATTTTTAATTTCGACATCAATCTCAAAATTTTGACTGGAATCGTATCTCGACTTTGAGATTTCAAAATTTCAACTTTTGAGTCAAATTTCGAGATTAAAATCAAGATTTCGAGATTAAAGTTAAAATTTCGAGATTGAAGTCGGAATTTCTAAGAAAGAACAAGAAATATGTATCCCTTCTTTTTTTTGTATCAAGATAGAGTAGCACAAAGCCAAAAACTTTTTTTCCCAAAAATGTATCCCTTTCTTATTATTTCGATATGTTTTTAAACAATATCAATCAGGAATAACATTAGTACCTACAGGACGTGTATTCTAGAATGAATATAAAATATCATCTTTCAATATCTTTCTTTTCTCGAATATAGAAAGTTTATTATTTTTCTTCATTTACTTCATTGAAGTGTTCAAATACACCACATAGTTTTCCTCTAAACACAACAAATTATATGTGTGAACATACATTGTCATCAGGCCTAGGGAAACATTCCTATGTAATAATCAACTCATTGTTAGCCACCCCCTCTTCATAGCAACTCTCTTGTCAAAAAGTTCCAAGTCGAAGTATTTATTCCATACCAAAGTATTGGATTAAACTTCACACTAAAATTTACACATTTTTCCTTTCTCCAGGAAAACCACAAGTCTCTGTGAGTCATTCATTCAGCATTGCAAATAAAAGAGTTCTTTATTCTTCACATCCGTTATTAAAAATTTTCTTCATTTTAGAATCCTCCTCAGATGAACATTTACCAAGTCTTTCCATCCCGAACAAAAGCACGTACGGCAAGTGGAAAAGAAGAAAAGGACAAGCCCCATCCAAGCCCATACCCCAAAAAAGGACCATCAAATGCTTACCGATGGCTGAAATCCGTCGAGAGCTGGAATTCATTGAAATCCAGCAGCAGGGGTTGGAAAAGCAGGGTGTCCGTTTGGAACAGATTATTCGAGAAAAGTGTGAGGGCACAGAAGCAAACACCCCTTCCAATCCAGGTAAAAACCCTCTCATTAACCACTGGGTTATAAAAGCAATTCAATATTACTATTTTTAACTGTGTGGTCTTCATTTTGCAGAAGATGATATTCCTATTGATGTTGAAGATTTGATACTGCAACTCTTTGAACTAGTGAATGAGAAGAACGAACTATTTAGAAAGCAAACTGAACTCATGTACTTGTAAGTATTTTTACTATGTAGGATTTGTAAGTGGAAGATATTTTTTGGTGTTCTGCAATGTCACCTGATTTAGGTCCTTTAATTTTTTCAACCTCTTTCATACAGCTATACAGCAAGGTAATTACTAGCTGAATAAAAGAAAAAGGGGAAATGATAATAAGTATACACATTGTTTCAAGTAATGGGGAATGACATCAGGACCTCCAGAAAAATGTGTTTGTTTAATTTCAACAATTGAAACAGAACTTTTCTATGATATATTGCACTTTGTAGCTTCCAATGAATGACCTGTTTCAATTCCAAAACAATTGTTCAATAGCCATATGAAACTAGTTGTTCGGAAAGAATGTTTTCCGGTAATTCAACAGCTTTCTCTTCCAGTTTCAATCTAAAAGAAACGTATGTGCATGCTATACACATCTTTGTTAAGAGTTTATTTTGAACTCAGTTGGTTTTTTCCTTTCTTCTGAAGTTTTCCACATTTTTAATACAAAGATGAAGGACAAGAAAGCTTTTTTCCTAAGAACTAATCTCTCCTAAAAAATATCCCCGTTTTAATTGAGAAGATGATCACTTGGTGATCGAAACATTAAACTGTTTTAATCTTCCTCTTCCTTAATCTTCCTCTTTGAAGATGATCACTTGGTGATCGAAACACGTGTCGAGGTGTTAAAAGTAACGATTTGGTGTTGGGAAAAAACTTCAGTAATATTCATTACTACACCAAATGTTCCAAACAGTGCATCATAAAAACTGTTTTTTTCCTATAGAAGAAGGCAACAACGACTTGAAGAGGAACATGCAGATGTGGAGTATCAAATAAGGTGTCTGATGCTACAACCGGAAGCAAATAAGACAGATTCCGATAAAACTAGGGAGGAGGAGCTGATAAAAAGGTGAAAAATTGTATTTATCTCAGTATTTCCAAACGTTTGGAAAATTAAATATAAAATTATTTGAACAATGTATGAATTAAATCAGTCATTTGAAAAACCCCAATTGTCTGCATACCGAAACTTGTGAAAAAACAAAAACAATGGTGAAATCTGCATTCAAGAAACATGTTTTGTGAGAGTTTCACTTAACAGTTTTACGAAAACGCAACACATGTTTCGCTGTACACTTGCTCCCTCAGACATATCTATATTTGATGCTTTATATATATTTTTACAAATTGAGTTACCTGAATTTTAAATACCTGAGTTCTACCTACCCAATTAATGTTGAAAATGTGTACCTCGCTGGTCATTCAGTATATGATGCGAATTCTTAAATCCATTTATTTCTAAACATTCTAAGAGGCTGAGTTTCAAACTTTTCCCTTCTAAATGTAGCACGTCATAGTCATGATTGAACTCATGTCCTTCTGTTAAAAGATGGTTTGCAAATGTGGAATTGATCTTTCCATCCAAGAAACTACTTCTATGTTTTTTAGTTCTTTGGGAAAAAGTTCTCCCCGTTTGGTCAATACAAAGTTTTGAGCAAGAGCCACAAGTCGATTTATATACTCCTGATCTATTCGACAGTGAAGTTCTCTCTTTATTGTGTACAATAAATTTGCTTGAATTATTATTTGTTTTGTTCGAATAGATTTAAATCTGAGAACATTCCTTTAGGTTTGCAATGCTTTCTTGGACCGGGGCAGGTGGGGTTTCTCAAATGATTGATTTACTTTAACTTGGGAATAATTGACAAAATTCTTCATTACAGGTTGATCGATATCGTGGAAAGGAGAAATGAAATAGTTGAATGTCTGGAAATGGATCGGGTTAGAGAAGCAGAGGAAGACGACAGTATAAGTAGCCACATCAACATGTACGCCCTGAATCGGGATGTGGATAAATCGATTTCCGAAAATCCTAAGAAGGAGAAAGATAAGGACAAGAAGAAACATAAAAAAGAGAAGAAATCAAAACACAAGTCCAAGGATAACGTTGACATGGACAAAGACGTTGATGAAAGCGAGACTTACAATACTTTGGAGAAGAAGAAAAAGAAAAAATTCGCTCTTTTTTAAGGAATCCGAATTCGTTGCCATTACTTTAAGATATTTGAAACAAGTTTCTGGAGCTGTGCTTTATTTTTGTTTTTATCATTGAGTCAATATATTTTTTGTACTTTCGTTACTTATATGTTGTGATTTTTATAGTATTAAAGATTCAACTTTTGAACGTGCTGTGTTTTTTTTGTCATGTCTGCCACATCCAACAAGCTTTGTATATGTGAATAATTCAATTCAAAAACACCGGTTTGCAAACCTTTGTGTAGAAATATTAGTTTTATTTTCATAAGTGGTGAAATAAGCATTCAAAATTATCACTTGTCTAAGCAAACTTTTGTCTGACGCAGTTACATGAATATTAATCAATCTGAAAATAGGTGTTTTTATTGGAAGTGAATAACATGCGAAAATATCAATATCCTCTAATTGAATACTGAAAAATAGGAAGTATTTTAAGGACATGAAAAATAACAGAAGAACTGTTCAAATATTTTTGATCACTTTGTCCAGTCCCACTCGTTAAAAAACACCTCGTTTCATGAAAACTATGTTCAATGAAGTAACTTCACACCAACGGTATACTCGAATACAAAAAAGAAATCTTCAGTTTTCGTTCACAAGAATTTGGTAATATTTGGGATCATCCTCAAAATCTCACCAAGTGTGATCACAAAACTCTCTTGGTTCAACCCAAAAAAATTAAATTAAGCATTATTTACTTGACAACCAAACATTATTTCCGATCATAAACAGATAACAAGACACAGACGACAAACAAGACACATACAGACAACACGGGACACAAGACAGACAACACATGATACACAAGACACGACACAAGATAGAACATAAAATACAAGACATACAAGACAAGATTCTCACATTTTTTGTACATAGAGAAGTAGAAAGGCAAAACTTTTCTCTGCAAAAAATAAATCTCTCTTAAAAATATACTTCTTTCAATTTGAACAAGAGTATAAAATGTTTCAACAATTTTTTTTCTTTATGATCTCCTTTTCAGTTACAATTATTCATCCAGATATATATGATCAGCTCGAAAAAAGAATTGCTCTAATTGAACGATTACAGAAATATTTTCAATCAGAAATCAAAATCTTTGTAAAATTAGAGATTCCTTAAAAATGAGAAAAATTTGACAAACACAAAAAACTATTCAAAAATGTACAAGAAAGAAAAAATAGCCACTGGAATTATTACGACAATATTCAATAATATTCCTTTGCACTTATTGGTAATTACTGCAGTGGGGACTCCGATGGAAATATAGAAAATAATAGAAAAACTCAAACGTAGGTTTTCACAGGGCTCCATTCTGGGTGTTTCTTTTTTCAATTTACATGAGTTATCTAACGTGTATCAATACATTAAGTAGAGATAGTATTTGCTAATTATAGACGTTTGTCATTGTACTGTTCTTTACTCCATTTGGTATTACAAACTTTGTAACAATGATTTATTTCATGCTAAAAAAGTATATTATCATCATATAAAATAGAGTATGAAAAGAGGTGAAAGAATCTTCTCTTTGGCAATGAATTAATTTATTTCAAAATTAGCAGTAATAGTTCAACTGCATGGAACCATAAGACAGCATTTATATTTAAAATAAATGAATTTTTATAATATATGGTATGTATTTTACTTGCCACAGTTTAGCAAAACCACACATCTATCAACCTTTCCTAAATTACAATTATCAAAATCTTATAAAAACTTCCGATAAATCTCTCTATCGTCTTTTGAAGCCATACTTTTTCCTTTCATAGAACAAGTCAGTCTTTGAACTTCCCAAATTGACAATCTTGGGGCAGCCGTCTCTGTCTTTCTCCTGGATTGTGCACTCCTTGCAGTAGTAGGCATCCGAAACGCCAGGACCACCACATATAACACACCTACCCTGGTAAGACCCGTAGTTGCATTCGTCGCAAATTCTTACAAGAGTGCAGGGTCTCACATAGGAATCACAAATTACACACTTTCCATCGCATTTTTCGCAAAGACGTCCTATGGCTACTCCTGGTTGTTTCCGACAAAATATTAAATCCGGGTGATGCTTCGCCATGGTGGGTCTGTAAAATATAATTATTCAGTTCCAAATATTGAACTACAGAATAGGGTTTTATGTAACCTCAAATATTCTTTTCTCAAGACAGAATTATTTGTACTTGATGCTCATTTATAAATAGGTGATTATTTTATACTCACAGTAATAAGTTACAACTTATGTACTCCAATAATTTTTCTCTCTGTAATTCGTAAACAATATTGATTAAAACCTGAAAAACTACCTACTTATTTCAAACAATTTTGAAGGTTAGGGCAAAAATACTTCTTCTTCTTCTTAACTTTGGCCCAGCTTCCAGATTTGGCGCTATTATGACCAGTGCTTTTTTTACTAAATGATAACTATAATAAAAACTTTTTCCAGGGAGCACATGTCTTGTTTTACACAATATCGTACATCATTTTTTCTTCCTAATGTATTTTTATTCTCCGTTATTCCATCTCTTCTTCAATATATTACTCTTTGTGAGAGACTCTTATTTATAGCATGTATAGACGATAATGGACATATGGACAATACATACTTCAATGATAGCTGTCAAAAGTGACAAATACACAGAGTAACTAACTCAAGAAAAATACCTATGCTGCTATTGGAAATGGTGAATCATTTTAAAAAATTTAAAATATCCATCCGCGGTTTGAGTACACTATAACTCATAACTGTCACTACTTGCAGAGAAATTTATATAGATAAATACAGATCGGTATTCACAACAAATGACAATCCACAGCAAGTGTAGCTTGACATTGTAACATAATATGCATTCATTTTATCAAATGAAATATGATTTGGAGAAGTAATATAATACGAAGAACGAGATTACTGTGTAACATCATGAACTTGAAAATTTTAACTTTGTTAAGAAAATTATCCAAATGACCATTTCGCATTCGCGGCGATTATTGTCGCAAGATGGCAGTGAAAACTGTAGGAAAATAAAGAAAATAGAAAGTGACATTTTGTACTGAAATTTCCATAAAATATGTTATTCATTTCAAAAAGAATATCGATATACTGTGTTATCAGAATTGTTAGCAGAAATAATCCTTCAATTGGAAGATAATACTATCAGGATCAATCTTGTGATATACAATACGTAAATATCGCGTAGCTCGCCCATATAAATTTTCATTTCTCACGGTATGAATTTGGAAATTCATTGAGTCAAAATGATATCGCAGGAAGTAGCAATGTGATTTTCATATAAATCATTCAGTCCATCTAAAATGTGTACTTTTACTGGTCTAAATCTCAGAATTTATATGTGGAGTCAGGGCATACGGTCTTATTACTTGAAATAAGTTCGCTCATTATTGTTTCGGGGCAATTTGAAAACGTTATTACAAAAGATAAATATGCCATCCGGAAAACTGTTCTCATTACTAAGTATTTCTACTTGTCTGGATAAACCTTCAAGCTGTCTGACACAACCCTGAACACGTTTTCAAAGATACAAATTTGAAAAAATACACCCACTCGAGTGCAGTATCAGGTTGAGGCGAGTGGTTGAAAGTTTTTTATGAATTGATAACTCATCTTTATCCGCATCTTGTTAGCAATGACCGGTGCTATATCTTCAATGTCTGTAATCTTCATTTCCTTATGTCTTTTGTTGTGCCTTAATTACACAGATTTTTGTTCAAAGAACCTTATTCGTGTATTCAGCACAGTATATTGTGCCCATATCAAGCATCAATGTATATAACCGAACACTAATCGCTTTTCAAATAGAAGGGAATGTAGAATTCAAATTGAATTTAGTTGGCACGAAGGGATATTTTGTGTTGGCAATTCTGAGAATTTCGAGCGAAGATCGAATAAATAAAAACAAAAAAAGGGTGAATATAAAAGTGAAGTGACGGATCATAAATTGTAACAAAAACTTGAAACGAAAAGCCGTTGAAAGTCATCAGTTTTTTTCCAGTGAAAAACTGAGCGATTTCAATATAGCAGAAAACCAGACCAGTTCAACAAGAATAGTACTTTTTTTACGATAAAACTCCTAGGAGTGGAAAATGTATTCCTCACCAGCAGTGCGATTATACACTTCTGAAAGTAAGTATGAAACATGCTTTTCTAGAAAATTTCCCTCAATCCATGGTCTTTCAGATACAGACAGTCTCATCCAGCGAAAGCCTGGAGCTAATCAAATATCTCGAAAACCGTTTGTAGACAGATCTGTCAACAGCAAAACTCCAGAAATCAGCAAGTTTGTTAAATCCAAACTACAGTTTGCTAAAGACGCAGCAGGACTGGAAAAAGCTTCCCACAATGATTTTGCCTGCAAAGAGATACCAAACATTTCCATTTCTCCACAGAATGACGATCTCAGTGCTGAAGATTACATCTTCTCAGGAAAAGTTGTGGAAGGTGAGTTGATGGAATTTATAGAGAACATTCATTTTTACTTTCATGGTTTAACTATGATGACTCAATATATAGGTGTTTCATAAATGAAAACTATGAAAATTAAATTAAAAGTTCCCGTTGCTGATGTTTTGATGGCCTTAAGTGTAATCACGGCAAATATATGTAAATATTTCTGAAATATTGTTGCTGCATAATCAAAAACCCGAAAGTCTGGATCTCGTTATGAAAATCTTTCAAAACAGTGGGCTTTACATCCAGTTTTCACTATATCTAGATCCCATTTCACATATTCCGTCTAATTTTTCCATCACATTTCAGAAATATTTGTTATATCTGTAAAATTTGTTTCCACTCATCAACAGAATTTGGGCAGTTAATTATTTATGAATGACAGTCAGTGTTTAATAAATTGTGTTTCAGATGTCTCCGAAGATTTATGGCCGGATCTCCATCTTGGCAGAGAGGGTATCATCAATATTCTCCGAAACTACTGCCAACTTGGCGACACTCCTCCACCCTCACCAACTTCTGATTGCTTCGATATTGACCCTATCAATATTGATCCACTGTTTTTCTCACTGCCTGATGACAATATGCATGCTTCCCCTGTTGTATGGGAGGAGTGCTGTGAAAATGTTGACGTACCAAAAATAGAGTCCGATGACGATTTAGATTCATCCCTAGGTTAGAGTTGTTCAAGTTTACTTGTAACTGTGCCGAGGGAATAGTTGAATATAATCTTAACAACTTACGTACTTCAAAATGGGTTGATTCTGAAGATATTACACTGTCTGTTAAGATTATGTTAAATATTCCTGACAGATTATTAGCCTGTCAGATGTGTTTTGTATGTATATATTTTCATTTTCTACTGTTCTGTTGTATGTGATTTTATGAATAAAACTTGAGCTTGCTTATATTTTTATTTTAAAAAATACAACTTTGTGTAGACATACATAAGAAAAAATAACAAAACAGGTACAAACTTGAATATCATCTATCAAATAAAACTACAGGTAAGCATTAAAGTTCCTGTATTTCAGAAGCAAAAGCCAATATTGAAGAGAAACTAGGAATCGATTAATTGACCCTCATTATACAAAGTAATGATTCGCGTAGATGCATACTAAATCATTAACATAGCTTGTAAAAAGTTGTGATGATGCTAATTTGGGTAGCAAAACGCGCTTAGGGAGACAGCATTTTTGTTCTGCTGAGGAAAGGGTGTTTTCAATAGGTTCTTTAACGTATGGAAAAACCAGTTGTTTGAAGGAATTGCGGAAAATATGAATTTGACACTTGGCTTCTTTGAGGAAAGGCTTCAATTGATGTGACAACCGATACTGCTGAAAAATATACAAAGTAGCCAACTTAGAAAAAATAATCGTATTCCAAATGAAATTCACTGAAAATTATCATGGTTCGCTTTTGAAACGATATACAGGACTCTAAGCCTACTTACAAATCACAAAATACGCAAAAATGAGTAAATAATCTGATTTACATCACTAATAAGCCATTAACATCGGAGGTTTTTCCTTATTTATGGTGGCTTCACTATCTCAGAACACGAGACAGTATAACCTTTTTATAAGGTTTTGCCTTAAGTTGAATAAAAAAAAATGTATCACATACTTAATCTGTATGGCACCTAAGCTAAGTCACAAAACTCAAAATGAAAAGTATCTGCAATTGGAAACTGTCACTGGATATGAAAAATTAGCACAACAGCTACTCCCTCTATTTTAGTTTTCGTTGGGTGAATTTGAAAAGGTGCTCGTTATCACAACAGATCTACAGCTACCAATTTCCTCACCTCTAAAGGTGGCAACTAGGTAGATTATTGATAAACCTTAATTTGAAAAACTTGCTCTCACCACCATCTCATAACATCAGAAAAGTTACTCTGTATTACTGATATGATTGTGTACCATCTTATGCCATGGTATGAACAGTGGGAAAATATAGACTTATAATAGTAAACAATGGAAAATGAAAGAGATTCTGCGAGAGTGTAGGTTTGACCGGTTTTCAAATTTGTGTGTATCATTTTCAGGTCTCATAAATTAATTCGATGTTTTTCAAACTACATTGAATTGTAGGATATTCCTGTTAGGTGATTTTTCCAAGCGACAATATCTGATAAGATATTTTTACAATATCTGATAACAATTATTTTCTTAGCAATGGTAGTGCATAAGACTTCAATTATGAACCATTTCAGTAAGAGTTTGTTTCAAAGTAGTTCCAAACAGCTCAATATTCACGAAACCATTAATCACCAGTTACATTCTACTGGAATAGATTAGAAATAAACAAAATTGAAATTAGAAATTTATAAAACAAAGATTGTCAAAAATGATTTCAAAGTTTCCTATCTAACCAGTAAATAAAACACTCAGTACATGAATATGTTGCAACTTATAAATGACCAATGAGAAGAGTGTAATTACAAGTAGGTGTCAACAATTGAAGAAGTAACAATTTTAAAATTGAAATTATAAAAACTGAAAACCTGATATAAAGTAAAGTTATCAAAATTGCTAATTATTATTATGATTGTATAAATATTAGTATAATTCATTAATATAAGAAGTGTGAATTAATCAAAGTGCAGAATTTGGCAAATTTCAAATTCATTGCCATGTTAAAGAAGTGAGTGTTAGGTTGCTAAGGTATCTTTCTGGCACTTAGCTTTTCTTTTTTTGCATTTTCTCTATCAGCATGCATCTTATAAATATGAAAAACACCACGAATTCAAATTTACGACTTTTAATAAAACGATTGAGGAACATATTCATAAGATGCATGCTGATAGAGAAAATGCAAAAAAAGAAAAGCTAAGTGCTCCTCAATTGTTTTATTGAAAGCTCTAAATTCATATTTATAAGATGCATGCATCTTATAAATATGAGCAATTGAGGAGCACTTAGCTTGTCTTTTTTTGGATTTTCTCTATCAGCATGCATCTTATGAATATACTCCTCAATTGTTTTATTCAAAGTCCTAAATTCGAAGTCATGGTGTTTTTCATATTTATAAGATGCATACTGATAGAGAAAATGCAAAAAAAGAAAGGATAAGTGCCAGAAAGATACCTTAGCAACCTAACACTCACTTCTTTACCATGGCAATGAATTTGAAATTTGCCAAATTCCGCACTTTGATTATTTTACACTTCTTATATTAATGAATTAAACTAATATTTATACAATCATAATAATATTTACCTACCAATTTTGATAACCTTACTTTATATCAGGTTTTCAGTTTTTATAATTTCAATTTTAAAATTGTTACTTCTTGAACTGTTGACACCTACTTTTCATTACACTCTTCTCATTGGTCATTTATGAGTTGCAACATATTCATGTACGGAGTGTTTTATTTACTGGTTAGATAGGAAACTTTGAAATCATTTTTGACAATCTTTGTTTTATAAATTTCTAATTTTAATTTTGTTTATTTCTAATTTATTCCAGCAGAATGTAACTGTTGATTAATGGTTTCATGAATATTGAGCTGTTTGGAACTACTTTGAAACAAACTCTTACTGAAATGGTTCATAATTGAAGTCTTATGCACTACCATNTGTGTGTGAAATATATTCATGCAAAATGAAATGGAGGGACTTATCGATCTGATCACCACAAAATTTCTGGACAAAGTTTTAGTCCATTGAATAAAATATAAATAAAAATAATTGAAACACACTTGAGAAAGGATTATTATCAGTGAACATTATTAGTTCTTTCATTTTCCATGTGCCTCTGTTGCTATAGTAAAAAAGAGAAGACAAAACTATGAGATGACTACATTCTATTCCAGCTTGGAGCTCTGAAGAAGATGTCTAAATAAATGATTCTAGAAACTATTTAGACTTATTGCACAGATGACTAGAAATTGAAAAACCTAAAAAAGCAATGAGTCCGAGCTATGCCAATCGAGTACAAAACAACTTTGACAAACCTCGTGTATCAGACATCAAGAGTGTAAATCCAAAAGTTTATTAATTTCAGTCAAGTAAAATGTTTTCTTCATCATCAGATAAAAAAAGATTCCTAATAAAACTTTTTTCTTAAAAGCACTTACCATTCAAAAACCAGAACAAATTACCAGTCAATGGAATGTTTGGACAGAAAAATATTTAAAACCAATTAAACCTACGATCAACAACAAGAGTGGCAGAGACCAACAAAATGCACTCTCTTCTATAACTCGGACCCTCAAGAAACGACAACCCGCGTAGCGCACCCCAAGCTATGTTATGACTTATCGACGTTCTCCAACACCATCGAGCATAACTGAAGGCAAAACTTGGTAGAAAACTCTTTGAGGAAACCGAACGAGCTGGTTTTCGCATCACCGATTCGCTCCTCATCAAAATTCTTGCAAAACAGCAAAATAGACAACGGATAGAAGTACTTATCCATATTCTTCAGCAGAATGCTCTCCAGAACAACGACAGGCAGACCGTTTGTCAGCCAGAACTCGATACACTTCATCAGGACGTTTTGCATCAGGATATGGTTCTCTGACGCATGAACTTTCCCCGTGTAGAACTCGACGATATGAGAGGCGGCGTCTATGATCTCCTTGACGGTCTTGTCTCGGACCTCAGGCTCCAACTGAGCGGCCTTCATCTTAATCTGCGCGTTGTCGATCTCGGACACCATCTTCGATACGCTAGATATCGGAGGAGAGCCTTCGTTTTGTTTCAGCGACTGCACGTAATGCGAGATGTTCTGTCGGATGTCTCCTACTTCAGAGACTTCGCAGGGGCTCTCGAGACCGCCCTGGTGCTCCACTTCGTCGCCCCACTGCCGGATGCTGTCCAGGGAAGAGCTGGAGCTCAGAATGTTCGCAGAACTGTTGGATAACTTGTCAGCTTGGTTGAGATCGTTCAAGTCATCTTGGATGTTCCTGACGATGAGCTCTACGTAACCTTGATCTTTTTCTTTGGTCGGTTTCGTGGTGTAGAAGCTCTGTTTGCTGAGATCTAGCGTGTCCATGTGCTTCTTGAAGGCTGCGAGTTGGAAACCGAGGCTATCGCCGAAATGGCCGTCCAGTATCGCTATTTTCGCAGCTCCCTGATAGTTATTCACCTCCAGACACTTCGCTAGTATGTTCTCAGTATCGTAAAACCCGTGGTAAGTCTCCAGCACATAGTGCAAAGTCTTGTTTCCTAGCTTCAAGTCGGGGACATCATAAATATGCTCAAAGGACACGCTAGGGTGCGGTTCGAAACTTGCCTCCGGATTTTCTATCGAACGGATCGAATAGGGAATGAAATTCTTCGAGAACAGCAATTTCTGGTCGCTCGGATTGAAGGTTATGGCCATTGTCGGTAGGCCTGGGACTTCTATGGGGTAGTTGTCGATGTTGCCGGCTTGAATGGTGTTCGGGAATTTCATGACCCTCCTTGAGTTTTTCAGGAGGACCATTTTTTCATCGTTTCTACGGTTGTCTTCGTCCAGCGGCCGTCCCAAAATCGTCTGAAATATAAATAATTCGTTCATAAGAATTTTTTTTTCTACGAAAAAATTACTTTTTCCCGGCACCCAATGTGGGACCTAATTAATATTGCAACTTATTTATTTTCCTAGAAAATCACATGTCATTACGATGTCATCGATGACATAAGCAGATCAAGCTTATTCTGTGACATTAAAAATCGTAATTCATAAATGAATTGTATGTATTTTCTATAATGTTATCCAATTTGGTACTGAAGAGCCTTAGGGCAAGTGTCTTAAGGCTAAACATCGGTGTATACCAGTGAGGATGACAGTGTTCCATGTAAGTACAATTTGTTACCATTCATTTAAAGTAGAACTCATGTGAATGATATCTGACTTTTTTTCCACAACGAATGTTTGAAATACAAACTTAGTAGAGAAAAGTATCTTCTGTATAATTCAGTGTTCATATAAAAGTATTTGTTTCGAAAGAATTATTTTCTTTCGTGTAATTCAATGTTTATATGAAAGTAGCTGTTTCAGGAGGACTTTCTTTCAGTTTGTGTCTGAAAGTTACTTCTTTGCATGATCTACACATTCATGTATAGAGTTTCAAATTGATTACTTCCTTCCTTTCTTTGGAAGATTCTCTCATCCCTTTGTAACAGATGGAGTAGTAGAAAGCCAAAAACTTTCTTTCCCAAAAAAAAAGTCAATTAAGTAAATGTTCAAAGTGGGTTTCGTTGTTTTGTAAACAATAATACAGCCTATTGTCAAAGTCTGCACGACTTACTATGACTTTTTTATTTGTAATGCTACCTCCCGGACTATTATTTCAAATAATAAGTGTCCGCCGATACTTTTTTGTTAAATAAAAACTCTATTTGCCGTTTTTGCAAAACTGTCATTCAGCTGTAGTTGTCACGATGGTTTACAGTATACATGGGCGCGTGGAGATAATTTTCATATTTGCCTCCCAGAACCAGTGTTATTTAAAAACAGCTCAAATATTTCATGACAGGCATCCAGACAAAAATGTAAGTCACGTGTACGTCCGCGATTTATCAATCAATCAATCAAAATATACTTTATTGTCGAAAAAACTCTTGTTTTGTTGACAAAGTAGAATATACACGTACAGAAAAAAAAATTTCACTTGGGGAATTGCGAGAAAGAATTACGTAAGCATGTCGCGCCATTACTAGAACAATATTTGCCAAAGTTCATGTAGAATTTGAAATTAGGCTGTATTATTGTTCACAAAACAACGGAACCCACTTTGAACATTCACTTAATTGACATTTTTAATAAATTTACAGTTCAACAAAAACCTCATTAAATATTCCATTTAAGCCAAAGTTTCACAATTATTGCTTCACCCTGTACAATTATTATTTATACCATTGGATGGCATTTTTTATAGTCTTTTCAATGATGTATAACAAGTAGGGGTTTGCAATTCAAACTTTTTGTGTTTTGGTGGATGGGGCCTAGGGGGTTGATGGGGGTGAGTTCTCTTTCATGTCACTTCAGTTCCCCCTTACTATCCCAGAAACGGTTTCAAGCAATTTTCGATATCAGCTTTCGTTCGTGAGATATAGCTCATTGTAAGTTTTAAAATTGACACACTGTATATATTCCATATCAGATAATTCATTGAATGATATTATTTCTGCAAGATAAATTGACTTTTGTTCTGACTTGACAAACTGTGAAGTATCTAGTTGGATGGCTATGTATCTTCATTCAAAAAATGTGGGAAACTTCAGAAGATATCAGGAGAGCAATTTACTTCGATTACGTTAGGTTCAGTTTGTAGTACAATATTACCCTTTCGAAGTATTCTGAAATTGAACAACTACAGTTAGTTCACAAAGGAAAATGATTCTTACCTGTGCCATTGTCGGACTACCCCAAGCCAACACCTTTCCAGAATGGTCGATTGCCATGGTATACTCCAACCCGCACGAGATGTGGAGAAATTTCTGCGAGAATGAACTGTTCATGTTGTCCTTTGGCTTCAATTTCGGGCCGTAGAGTTCGTCGTCCTTGCTTCTGCCCCATAAAATCCTACCTTCATGCAAAATCACGGAGTGCCTGTAGCCGATCGCTACCTGTTCAATAGGTTTATCGTTAACCGATGAGTACACATGTACGCTAGTCTTATAAAAGTCGGATGGCCTACGCGAGAGCCCGTTGTGCTTCTGGTTGTTCTTCGACTGCAGTATTCGGACCTCTTGCGGGTTCACACCCCAAGCATATACTTCCTGGTCGCTGCGAATTGCAATCTGAAAAGGAATTGAAATCCAACTGAAATGTGATCAAGTTCTACTAGGAGCGTTTTACTGGAAGTGGCGCAGTCGGTAGGATATAAATGCAGCGATAAGTAGGACTTTTTAATTTACATAATGTATCAAATTATATATAGGATTTAAACTATTTGAAGAAAATGTCGATGTTTGAGACGTGCCGACTGATAGGTTTAATTAGATCTAAAAGGATTACCCAATAAATACTCGTTAAGTCAATATTCACTTACATTATGGAAATATGATGTAGCAACCTTATCAATCGGTTTAAAAACATCCGGTTGAACCAGAACCCAAACTGGTCTAGTAGCCTTATTAGTCTTCACTTGTAAACTCTCCAGCTGCCCGAAAATATTCGAGCCGAACCCGAAAATCCTTCCGTCACACGTAAGAATCAGAGTGTGAGCATGCCCCGCAGCAACCTATTTAACAATACAAAAAAACAAAACGTTCATTCAACACGTCGAAATATAAAATGCTTATGTCTCTCTTCCCCCCCATTCCCATTCTCCTCATGAGGAGGGGGAATGGGGGGGAAGGAGTAGGTGGAGGAAACATCAAGAAGGTGAGAAAGTGGAAGATTTAAATAGACGAGGTCGAGAAAGGGGAGAGGCGAGAATTGTGGAGCCCTGAAGCAGTACCAAAAGGAAGCATAACCTCATGGGGCAATGAGACACTACAGAGGAGTAGTGGGAGCAGATATAAATGTATGGCTTACCTGTTTCACAGGATGATCAAACTGCAGGAGCTTCGGGAAGAACTCGTTATCACAATTACCATGTCCAAGTTGGCCGTGGATGCCCCATCCCCAGGTATAAACCTTGCCGCTGGATGTCAGCGCTACGCTGTGGTACTGACCAGCGGACAGGTCGATGATCTTCAGGTGCGGGATGGACGAGAGAATTTGGGGATAGGGGCTCTCCTGGACGCAGCTGCCCAGACCTAGCTGGCCGTATGTGTTGGAGCCCCACGAATATACCTGTAACAAAAAAAATTCTTTGTTTATTCCTTCATTATTTGAAAAACACAATGTTGTTTGAATATATAATATGAATGTAGTAGAATTCAGCACGAAGTCATTGGTCATATCGATTAAGTTGTTGGATGTCAACAATAACAAACATGGAAAAAAGTTTGAGTATATGTCCATCACATTACAATACGATTTTATTCAATTCATCTAGTTTTCTGAAAACAAGCGAAAACCAAGAATATCGCTCTTTTTTTAAGGAATGCTTGGACAAGGCTTACAGAACAAATAATAATTTAAGCAAATTGATTAAAAACAATAAAGAAAAAACAGGATATGTAGAATTTATTTAGTATAGACTCGCCTGAAGAAGCTACTGTACAGCGAAACACATGTTGCGTTTTTGTAAAACAAATTAGCGAGAATCTCACAATAAAGGGTTTCTTGAATATACAATAAAGTGATACTGTACAGTGGACTCACGCAGTTTATACAAAAAAGTTTGTAAGGGTCTATCAAATTTAAAATTTCATACTGACTGGTAAGTCAATATTAGGTGTATATTTATGCCTAACATATCTCGTAATAAAAATATCAAATACTTCTTGTTCTAATTCACTGCACCATTAAATCAGAAAAAATAAGCATATCTGATGTAAATACATATTGAATATACATTACTGGCAACAATTCCATTCAAAATGGTTAAATTGAATTCATTCATTGTTCTCGTTCATTCATATAAATGATGTATAATATCATTCAATTACCATTTTCCTGTCTAGTGATCGCCTTTCAATAAACTCACCGGAAATAATCACAGATTACAACCGTTTTTAGCCTTGCTTCCAAAAGGTAGGTAATTTAGAAAGTAAACAACATGAGATTTTGTCGATATTAAATAATTAACATGTAATTACCCAGAATTTACTATTTAAGTTTTCATACTTTTTTGTCGATTCCAAATAACACGCGACGCGAAGATTTATAGATATTAAATTTTAATGATTTCGTAATAATATGAATCTAATATTTTTTGTGTGGCTCAGAAGTCATGCATGTCTTTCAGTCACATATAAATCGGACCTCAACGAATGGTTATTAGTTTAACTAGAACGCGGGTTTGAAACTAAAATACAATGAGATTTCCCATTTTCATTTTGTGTCTGTCACTGGTAACACACTATGCTGTATCAGAGGTATGTTGATAAAATTATTTTGGAATTGGAGAAAGGAAAATATTTTTTTTATTTCAAGATGACTGAGAAGCAGATAAAGGCGACGAAAAAGTTGATTCGAAACACTTGCCAGAACAAATCCAAAGCACCAACTGGTATGTAATATTTATTAATTCTGACTAAAAAAGAAAACAAAGCAGGTTCTAAAAGTTCCTCCTATACGTCTTCTATTTAAAAAATAAGATGAATTTTAATTTTTCTCAAGAAATATTCATTTGTTAGAAATAGAAATAGTTCTATTCATCATTAAAATGTTTCACACATACACAATGGCTAGATTAAATACATGAGAAAACTTATTGGACTAGTCAAAAAAGTGAAACGCTAAAAGCTAAACACAAATGTTTGATCTTGAACAAATTTAAAAAATAACTACACGTATAAAAGAAACTATGTCAATTATCTACGCACTGAAAGCAAGAAACTCATCCATACTGTAGAAGCAGTTATCCAACAAGAAACCATATAGTTCATTCCTCATTACAGTTCTACTTTTATTGATCCCTATAAAAGTTGTTATTTTATTGAAAAATTGAATACCCAAATATTTTGGGGAATTCTGACTGAGGTAACTGAGGTAACACGTCTGTTCAAGGCTAATAGGGCTTGTGTGCTATCAGTGCAGATTATTATGTTTTTGCCAGAAATTCCTTTCCTGGTTATTTCTTTTGTGGCGCTTAAAATACCAGCCAGTTCTGTTTGAACCACGCTGGTATTTTTTCCCATTCCCCACTTAATCTTTAGGCTTAGTGATCTGGATTACACTCCACATCCTGAGCCTTCTTTGGTTTTTGAGCTGTCTGTATATATGCGTATTGCATTTGTAGCATCTGACTCTGTTTTCTATTTTTTTTTGTATTTTGTAGGGTTTATTAAACACAAACCTGGGTTCGATTGCATCACTGGTTGCCTGCAGCAGAGGTTGCGCACCTTGCCATAGGCTTAGCCTCCATGTACCCATTCCTATTTCGAGGTTTACACCATCTGTGCGCAATCGTAACATGGCTATTAACGCAACCTCCCTAACGTACAGGTCCAGAGGGTTCAGACCAGTAACCAATTCCATTGCCGCGGTTGACGTTGTTCTCATGGCTCCTGTGATGTTTAAACAAGCCAATCGCTGTATTTGATATTATTTTTGGTCACCTGTCCCACTGTCCTCCGACACTGCTCATAAGCCACATATATGCTCTTTTTGCTCTACTCTGTAAGTGAGAGTTCCATGTTAGCTTCCTGTCAAGGATAGTACCAAGGTATTTCACCTCTTCAGAGTCGTTTAGTTTGCTTTTGAAGATTTCGGGAGGTTTTAAGGTCGGTAAACTTCTTTTCCTGGTGGAAAGGACCATCTCAGTCTTCTTGGGATTGATCGACAGTGAGTGTTCTTCACACCATGTTTCTATTAATTTGAGCCCATCCTGCGCTTTACCGCACAGCATGTTCACAAATCTGCTGGTCTGCAAAATAACTATGTCATCTGCATCCTAAATTTTCTTGACAAAAATCATATTCTCCACTCCAATCAATATGGCTGTCAAGCCTCTGAAAGCACAAATGATGCAATGTTTGCTTTTTTAGAAGAACTTTACCTTCTACTGAACGTTGGTAAGCCTGCAGTGGCAGTATTTCGTGATCTGACAAAAGCATTCGACTGTGTTGATCACAAAATATTGCTTCAAAAAACTTAAAATCTACGGATTTAGAGGAAACATCTTGTTGTGGTTTGAGTCATATCTATCAGATCACGTTCAAGTAGTGAATTTCAAAAGTTCATCATCAGATAAAATGAGCACTAAATGCGGAGTACCTCAGGGATCTGTCCTCGGACCTTTGCTGTTTTTATTATATATAAATGATCTGGCATATATATCGATTGAAGGAAAATTCACAAGTTTTGCTGATGACACATCTATACTTTGGCATGGAAGCACTGATGCACTAAAAATTAGGGTAGAGCATGATATAGGCGAAGTTAAAGAATAGTGTGATGCCAATTTATTATCTATCAATATATCAAAGACCTTTAAATGCCATTTTAATGTAGCCTGGACCATATAATTCTTGAAGAACACACCATTGATCATAAACTAGAGAACCAACTTTTAGGCCTCAACATAGACAACAAATTAAAATTTGGAACGCATATTAGTATACTATGCAAAAAATTATCCTCAAGTGGTTGTGCGATAAAGCCTATCTCTAACTCTTTGAACTGTCACTCTGCTAGAAAAGCATACTTTGCATTTTTCGAATCCCACTTGCGGTACGGAGTTTGTTTCTGGGGGAACAGTTGTCAAAACTTAATGAGTCAAGTTTTCACAATACAAAAAAAGAGCGGTGAGATTCATTACCAGAACTAGAGTGCAAGATTCCTGTAAGCCCCTTGTTTTACACATCATATCTCAACAGTCTACTGCCTCTTTGTTTTAGAAACAGTCTGCCTAATGCACAAAAAGCACAAAGATAACATCTCGAACTCATCTCAGAGTTATGCCACTTGTCTCACATTCAATATTCCTTTTTCTATCCCGTCAACAGCACAAATTAAAAATTCGATTCTTTATAATAGCAAAAAATATTTGATACTTATTGCTTTAGAGAGCATCTAGGATATCCATTCTCATATCAAACGCTCCCTCGATATCTATGAATATACCCAGGGTGGATTCTTTGTTATCCAATGATCTTTCGATTCTGACAACCACATGGTGAAGGGCCGAATCAGTACACTTTCCCGGAGTATATGCATGTGTAGTCCATCCTACCTGGTTTGCATATAAATACTACCCGTAGTTCTCTCCATTTACGGGGAATATACCTCAGAGCTAGAGAGGCTCTGAATATTCCAATATTACATGAATATGAATTTTTAGTACATGCATAATAAATTAAAATCCATTACCTTGATAATGTCTTCAATTATTCTAAATACAATTTTATTGTATTTTTAGAGGAGCTTGACGCTATGCTGAAAGGGAATTTTGATCAAAGCAAAGCCGCACAGGTATAAACTTCATTTAAGTTTTTGCAATAAGAAAATCTGATTATTTATTCTATTGAAAAAATCAGACTGGCTTTATCAAAGATGTTCAACAATACTAAACTTATTTTCATTCCAGTGCTACCAATACTGCATAATGAACACATACAAACTGGTAAGAATGTCAATAAAACTTTAAATAAATTCCATGAATTTTCGTAATATAAATTTGTAGCTCAGAACCGACAACTCCTTCGACTGGGAAGCGGGAATAAAAGCCCTAAAAGCCAACGCTCCAGAAAGAATAGCAGGGCCGGGAAGCATCAGCATTGAAAACTGCAAAGATGCTATGAAAACAACAAACGACAAATGTAAAGGTTCCATGGAAATCGCAGAATGCATATACAAGGATAATCCCGAGGTTTGTATAAGGTTATTTTTCGATAGACTACTGTTTCATGTTCATTCGTTTCAGAACTACTTCTTACCATGAGGAACAAAGCTCAATGAACAAATGGTAACGTTCTTTGTAGGGTATCGTGTCTCTTGATTTTGATTATCTAATAAATTTGTATATTCTCATGTGGAGTTTATTTTTGGAAAACTCTCTCAGAAACCTTCAATACATTTGCGAAGAATGACCATGTACAATTGAAATAGGTTTCATTGCAACTGGAATCCCAAAGCATTGACTTTGATAAATACATTTTCTGAATTCAAATATTTCTTTAAAAGTGTGATAATGACTCAGTTTTTTATACAGTGAGGACGAAACTAGTCCCCTCTCTCAATTTTTGAACGGAACAAAATATTAAGGGCAGACATTAAAAAAAGAAACAGAGATGAACAAAGTAACTGCAGACCCATATCATTATTGCTAAATCCCAGTAAAATTTTTAAAAAGCTCACGAACAAACGTTTACTTAAGTTTTTAGATTTGACTTTGATTCCATATTTATCAAACTTGATAAATATGGAATCAAAGGCACATCTTTGGACTTAATCAAATCCTATTTGACAAACAGAACCCAACATTTGATTGAAAATGACATTTCGGAGATAATTAAATCAGAATCAATTGTGATTAAAAAAGGTGTGCCACAGGGATCCATCCTAGGCCCATTATTATATATACTGTACACAAATGAAATACCAAATGTAGTTAGTGAACATATTGTATTATATGCTGAGAATGTATAGGTCATCGTAAAAGAAAAGAACTCTCAGTTGGTCACGACAAAGACAACAAATGTACTGGATGTATTAAACAATATCCTCACAGCAAATGACCTACTACTTAATATCGACAAAACTCAAATAATTCATTTCGCAAATAGATCCTCGCCAGAGTTGAATACCTTTGAATATAATAATCAAAATATAAACATATGCAATCAGGTAAAATTTTTGGGACTGTTAATAGATAGGAGACTGGAATGGAAAAATCACATATACTAATTATCAAAAAATATTGCAAAATATTGCTATGCATTGAGAATACTGTTGGAACATGTCTCAACCTAAGCTGATCTCTTTGCATACCATGCTTATATTCAATCTAGGATAAAATATGGAGCAAATTTTTAACTTTGATAAATCTTTACATATATGAAGCAGTAGTATTTGTAACAGAAAATAAATCAGGATTTTTCATTAACTGTGAAAAAGATCACGTATACAACACCAGAACAAAGAATGATCTTAGAAATGAGAAATGCAACTATAGATACATACAGAGAAAGGTCAAATATAGCGTTATAAACATTTACAATAAATTTCCACTCACTCTAAGCAATCTTCCAATTTCAACAATGAAATGTCGTTTGAAGAACTACCTCGTAGAAAAACGTTATTATAGCTTGCAGGAATTCTTTAATGGATAGTATGCTAACTACATGAATTTTTTTTGTCTTAAAACTACGTGTTTGATAATGTTGATTATGTATGTAAAGTTCCACACTCCTAGGAGTTTATATGTGTACATTATATGTAACCGGAGCAAATAAAGATCTATCTATCTATCTATCAGGTGGTGATCTAGTGGACGCTTCTAAGAGATCACGTTTGCCTGTCTACTGGTTGGGAAAATTGTCAATTCTGAATAAGTTCTTAACTAATATTAGGTTTCAGCAAGATACCTTATTACAACGAGCTGGTTTGACTAGATGACAATTATCCAACCTGGTAGATTGATAAATGTGGTCTCTCAAAATGAACCTCTGATATGACACCCTTGGATTTTTGTGAGGACTGGTGAAATCTAAAGTTTACGTTACACAACCGCAGGCTACTCCAGAGCTCATGGTTAAAATAAGAGGTGCTCCCATGATGAATTTGTAAACAAACGTCATTATTGTCAGGAAGTGTTTTCCCAAGAAACATTTCCTTTCCAATTCATTTACTTTTATCCAACATTTTAAATATGCGATCAATGTAATGTAACTCAACTCACCCCATAATCTGTGAGGGCCAAGGTATGTTTTCTTCCGCAACTGACGCTCAGGACTTTAACCTTCATTTCGGAGAGTGTTTGAACCAAACGTGGAGGGCTGCTTTGCGTCAGTAACGGGCCCAAGCCTAGACATCCCGAACTGGACACTCCCATGGTATACACTTCGTTATTACGTACCACCGCGCCATGTTCATAGCCGCAGCTAAGGGGATGCAAGTCTGGCAGTTTCTTCACTCTGGGATAGGATGGTGAGGGTTCAACTACTTTTATGTTATCGAGCAAGCCGAGACTGAAACTGAAATGGAAATATTTGCGAATAGGTACAATTGAAAGGTAATAACATACTGTTACAAAGAACTACTATTGCTACAACTATTGAATCCATATGATTTTAGTTAACCCCAACCTTTAAAAGAAACGTGAACAAATTTCACATCTGTCGGACTTATTAGTTTGTGGGATAGAACATTCTGAGTGAAGCAAGTTTTATTGGTTTGAAGAAAATGGATAAAAAGAAATTTCGTGTTAATAAAGCATTGCTTTTTGGCGAAAAGAAAACTGTTGAAGCCAAGGTTTGGCTTGATAAAAATTATTCCGTCTTGTGTTTGACTGTTTTGTCGCAAATATTGCTTTGTTCTTGAAAGTAACTCTTTGTACTAAACAGCATATTCATAATTATTATTATTTTACCTACCAATTATTCTCGGTCTTGAAAGCCAGCTGTATAAGGACAGTTAGGAATGTTTCGATGAGATCTTTCACGGTCACAACGCTTCTGTCAGAATTCTCAAAATCCACCGACTCAATTGTCGTATCCAAACTGGAAGAAAACTTAGTCGTCTGAAACAATCTGCAGACCAGAGGAATCGCGCAAGGCTGACTAGGATCCAACTGCGCTGCCAAACGTCGCAGCACGTCCACAGGAAAAGCTTGGACATTCGTTCGAACGTACTGGAATATGAAATGAGAAAACTGGCCGAAGATCAACAAGTTCTGTGTAAGCGAAGGTTCGGAAAGGGCGCAAAGGAAGTCTTGCTCGGTGGGTCTGGGCGCTCTGGCGCTTTGCAGGATTTGGCCCAGAGCGGCTACCACTTCCGCTTGTAGGCCTCTGGATTTGGCCAGGAGGGTTACGATGTTCCACTGGCCGGCTTGACAGGCAACGTTCACGGCTAGGATTTGGTCGTAGTGTTCTTCGTAGCAGAGGAAGTTCCTATGGTTATTCAAAACATAGAATAGAATAGTTCATTTGAAAATTTACATTCACATTTATAGCAAGTCAAAATACATTTGAAATAGTTCACATGTTAAAATAAATAATAATAAACAGAGCACATAATATTTTATGTGCTCCACTGTTGTTATGCTAGTGAATATCTAATCCAATCTAATTCTATTGGATCTCAAGTAGAGAATTCTAAATAAAAAGTGGTTTTGCTCGAGTGCCTAAACGAGTCAACATCGTTTACTTTTGTTCTGCATTTATCTTATTTATTACCACGTTATATTCATAGTTAATCACTGTTTCAAAAACCGACGTATGTATTGAACATTTTTATGACTTTTTTGCCGCAGTCGAACTGATAACTGAGAACTGATAAACCTTGGCTTTCTCTTTTTTGCCTACCCCTCATTGCCAGAGGCGTAGGCAGAATTCCGGTATGGATACATTGCTGCACATCCAATTAAAATCTTTAAGCGAATTTAACAAAGTCAACCAAACAAATTGTCTTTGAGTACAAGGGCAACAATAAACCAAATGGTTTTACCTCAACTCATAGAAACCAAATTGTTGCACAGCATGAACACCAACAATCCAGTTCCTAGCACCAGTTACGTATCAGCCGCCAAGACAGCACCCAAACCATCTTTCCCAAAAAAGAAGCAAGCCATAGTGATGCACGCTGATGATAACCTGAAGTTATTTGACTATGTTGAAGCAATAGGCGATATTGTAGGCCCCAAGCATATTACGTTCGCATCAAGGATTTCGAATAATAGAATCTGCATCTATCTTGCCAATTCCAATCTTGTTGACGATCTTATCAAATCCCACCCAGTCATAACTATCAACAATACTGCTATAAACATCGGCCGACTCGTTTCTCCAACAAAACGAATAATCATCTCAAACATATCTCCCTATATACCTCACGAACTTGCTGAAAATGCTATTAAGAGCCTCGGTTTACAGATTACCTCCCCTGTCTCATTTTTGAGAGCTGCTATTCCAGGCGACGAATACTCCCATATATTAGGTTTCAGGCGACAAGTTTATGTCCTTTCCCCATCAGACAACTTTGAAATGCAGACTTCATTAACCATCCCTTTTGAGGGATGTCTGTCCACAGACAAAATGGAGTGCTTCATTTGCAAGCAACCTGGACACATCGCTTCAAATTGTCAAAATCCTCCAACTAACATCTTACTGACACAATCCACAATCCAAAATCAAATTCTACAAATCAAATTGAGAGTAACGATTTGACTTTTATATAGATCAGATTGCCCCACAAGAAACCCAACCTCTTACAGCTCTGACCATAGCCCAAAAACGTGGATACTCACAAATTTTAACAGAAAGTGAAATCTCAAGTCCACCCGCAGACATAGAAAACGCTATGCCTCCCCTACATCCCCATCGCCATACCCAGCAGATTATACAGTTAATAAAGCAGTAAAGAAGAAGTGTAGGGTGGGTGATCCAAATCTTACGACATCCACGAAAGAATGTATAGCAAAAACCTACCAGAAAACACCAGATTTCTTCATACTTCCTATAGATAATCTTCATGACTTCCTGGAAAATACTTTCGGTAACCCTAATCCGTGCCAAGAAGCCCGAAAATACACAGATGATATTACTGGCCTTATTTCAAACTTAAATCTTATTTATCCTGACCTCACAGATAGATCCATAAAGAACAGAATAACCCGGATAACAAACAAGATGAAAAAGACGCTCAAAAACGACACTGGTGAGACCCTGTGTCTGGGTACCTCTACTGATCCTAATGATGATGAATATAGCTCCGATTGCCCCCAGCAGTCACGTAAATCGTCATATTGAATCTTTCATCATCATGCCCACCTCCTTAATACAGTGGAACTGCGACGGTTTATACCCCCGACTGGAACGATTACAACAGCTCATCTCAGACTTCTCACCTGACTTCCTGTGCTTACAAGAAACTAATTTCATCAAATCTCATAACCCTTCCTTAAAAATTCATGCTGGCCATCACTTCATTAGAACTACTCATCTACGAGCCAGTGGCGGATCCTCAGTTTTTGTCTCTACAGATATTTTCCATCAAAAACTACATTTGAACACAAGTCTAGAAACAGTCGCCATCACAGCTTGGGGTGCCAATAAAATTGTAATTTACAGTGTATATATCCCTCCACACTACAATATAAGAGACACAGAGATAACCGACCTGATAAACCTACTTTCCTCACCGTTCATCTTGGTGGGTGACAGCACAATACAATGTGGGGTTCAGAACGTACGTTTGGTCGAGGCAAAATGATTGAAAACTTGATTAACAATTCCAATATTAATCTACTCAACACTGGCAGCTGCACATATTTCCATGTACAATCCGGATCCTTCTCATCAATAGACCTCAGCTTTTCAGATCCAGGAACAGCACCCTTACTAACATGGCATACGCTGGACCTCTATGATAGTAATCATTTTCCTATTCTAATCTCAGACAATAAATCAAAACAAGCTATATTTAAAGAAAATTGGAAAATTGCTAAAGCAAACTGAGATCTTTACAGCCAAACACTAAATGCAAATACAGAAAACATCGAATTTTCGAATGATATAGATCAGGGGTCTCCAAACTTTGAAGCCTTCGGGCCATAATGATTTTTTCAGTTTGTTCCAAGGGCCAATTCCTGCCCTTAACTATATTTCTAGACTAGGATAGTCGCAAAGTGCGTGACCTAAGCAAACTTACGCTTTTTCTGCATTTCAATTATTATTGTGTATTGTGACACTTAACGACATCTAGTGGCGAGTGGTGGTACTATCTACTATCTTTTTCAGCTACCCACTAGGTGGCATTAGGCGTAATTAAATATTTGGAATTACAGCGTTGGTTCGAGAAAGTTCTGGTTCTAGCTAGTGTATTCCGATCACCTCGAGATGGCAGTAATAATTATTGCATATGAAAAGGCTAGCGGCGCAACTGCGAGTTAGTCTGCGTAGGAAAGGCGAAGAAAGCGAAACTGTCTATTGTGAAATAAAACAACACCCGCCAATAAAAGTATTTTGATTTGACTTATTGTTTTTATGTGTGATTTGTTAGTATGGAAAAGAAGCGAAAAATCGACAGTGAATGCAGAACGTTTCAACAAAAATGGAACTTTCAGTATTTTGTGATTGAGTCCAGTAATAAGGCGCTATGTTTAATTTGTAATGAAACCATAGCTGTTCTCAAAGACTATAACATTAAACGACACTATGAATCGAAACATCTTCAAAGTTACTCCAAGTATACAAGAAGTTTGCGGAAGGAAAAATTTGAAGCTCTGAAAAGCGGACTCAAATCGCAGCAATCTTTGTTTACTAAAGCGAATACTGAACAAGAGTCCGCAACTCGCGCCAGCTTTCGTGTGGCTCTTGAAATCGGAAAACGTGGCAAACCATTCACCGATGGAGAAATGATATAAGAATGCTTGATTGCAGTAGCCGAAGAAACATGCCCCGAAAAGGTAAATTTATTTAAAAGTGTCAGTTTGTCAGCAAACACCGTGGCTCGGAGAGTGCAAGACATCGCAGAAAATATATCATCTCAACTGTCTGACAAAAATGGACATCATGAGTGGTTTTCTCTAGCATTGGATGAGTCAACGGATGTGTCAGATACTGCTCAGGTGTTGATTTTTATTCGCGGAGTAGATAAAAGCTATAAAGTGTATGAAGAACTTCTTGATATTGATAGTATTCACGGCACGACAACTGGGGCAGATATTTTAAAGGGAGTTGAAAATGCCATTAATAAAAAGATCCTTCGATAGAGAAATTAGAAATCTATAACAACTGATGGAGGCAAAAATATGTATGGTAAAAATAAAGGACTGGTTGCACTTGTGTCAAAGGCTGTAGAAAATGATGGTGGTTCAAAACCATCAGTCTTAGATTGTATCATTCATCAACAGTCCTTGTGCGGAAAATGTTTGGATATGTCTGAAGTTCTAAAACCAGTCATATCAGTTGTTATCTTCATCAGATCCAGTGGGTTGAATCACCGACAATTCAGCTTCTCCCTGATTTATACACCAATATCAAATCCTTCAGGCAGAAAATAATATTATCGCAAATATCGCAATTACGTAAAAAATGTTTCACACATTTTGAAACATGTGAAATATTCAGCCACACTACAGAGACTGAATTTCCCGTCAATTTTGCAATCGAAACTTTGAGTGCTTTGAAGATAAATTTTGATACTCGTTTTTCAGATTTTGATGTCATTGCGAATGAAATTAACACAACTACAAAGTATTGTCGGTGGAAAATCACAATTACATAAATCTCATTAGTGTTTTTGTTTTACTGTGATTCATTTCAATTATCTGTTAGTTATTAATATGCTTAAACTTAGATACTTCAGTTAAGTTTTCTTTGTCATCATTTCTGTCGTTAAGTTTTACCTTGCAAGTAAATAAAACCGAGTAATTATCATTCTGTGTTTTCTTCTTCAACTTATCACAGCAATAGTAACAACAATTAGGTAATCATTGGCTGTCGCGGGCCAGATTGATAACAGTAAATCATTGGCTGACGCGGGCCGGATTGATGACACTGGCGGGCCGGATTTGGCCCGCGGGCCGTAGGTTGGAGACTCCTGGATTAAAGTAATAACTCAATTGAAATTCACCATAAATATTATAATGCTAGAAATGGTTGAGTACGGACCTGTTAATTTTGCATACATATGATGACTAGGTACAAAAGTGAATCAACTCAGACTCTAGAGTATAATAAACATGAAAGATAATTCGAGATATTTGTAACAAATTAATTAATTGATATAAGAGTCGGAACAAACATAACTGGGAATGTTCAAAAAGAAAGATTTTGAGAGTAATACCTACGTCAAATATTTATATGGACAATTGGACAATATTTCCTTTGATTATTCTGTACTATTTCATCATTATATTGTTTTCTTTTTATACTATATATCATATTATTATTATTGTGCTATGTATTTATTATCTTTAGTTCAGTTTAAGATTTTACAAACTTTTTCTTTATTTACAACAAAATTGTACTGTGTTTTAATAACTATATTACTGTATTATGTATTTATTATCTTCAAATTTCAAATCAAATCAAAATATGCTTTATTACCCAAGATATGAACATCTTATTGGCAAAGTCTAGTAAAGTAAAACATGTATGTGGGACAATTAACAAATATAAACTATAAAATAATGCTTAGAGACATGAGCATAGTATATAGACAGAACAATATTAAGCCCAGCTGAACAGATACAAATATAAGTACATGAATATATGAATATTCAGTAAATGTAAATATATTTTCTAACAAACTAAATCTCATATAAAATACTCAAGTAGATAACACTGTGTTTCAGGTTCAGCTACAAAGCAGAGCACAGGAATATGACAAGTGTGATTTTTCCGAAACATCGTGATCATATCGAAGACGAACAGATGAACGTTTATAAAATACTTTCCATTGATTCAACACATAGTTGATGGTCGCTACTAAATCGGATCATCTACTATTGACTCTACTTTTTTCATTGAAAGAGTAGTGCTTATACGATACTTTGTAAATTGTGTTTGGTATGATTGTTGGTACTCACATGAACTCCTTGGTGTTTGATATCCGTTGAATCCCTCCGAACCTCAACACCAACTCCGTATAAGCCATCACGGCTAGATTGCCTATATGAATTTTTGTAGCTATAGACATGTCCACTTTGCTGGCGCTCAAACACAAGTGAATAAATTTCAGCAGAGTCCTACAGTCTGCCGACACAGCCAATTTCAATACCCTTTTCAGTAAGTGCACTTTAGCTTGTTTGTACAGTATTATTCCAGAGTGGTAGGATCCTCTGGATATGAGAAGGTCTCCGCAACTTTCCAGCAGTTGCTGAATGTTCAGTCCGAATACGATCGAGAGCTTCTCTGCTTTTCCTAAATTGTGTTCATCTGTTACGTATTGCACGAATTTCCTTACTGGAGAACACCTAAAAATCAGTTATAATTGAAAAGTTAGTCCTTATATATACAGTGTGTCCAATAGAATTTCCATTATAAATTCTAGATGAAGGAGTGAAGTTGGTGTTTCCTATAATAGTTTTGAATATCAATGCACTGAGTGACCCACGATTTGAACGATCGACAGAAATTTTTACGTTTCAAGGTCTGTTACTCTTTGCTTTTGGATCGGATCGTCACAAGTGATAAAAAGTGGATCCTCTACAACGTTCAGGACAGTGGTTGGACACCAATGAGCTACCCATGCACTTCCCAAAGGCAAAACCCACAAAAAAAGACCATGATTAATGCATGGTAGTCAGCGGCAGGTGTGATTCACTATAGATATGTTTATTTACTTCACAGGTTATTTGTAGTCCTACATGAAAACAGTGGCAGAATACATTGTCTGTAAAAGTACGTCACAAAATATAAAAACTCAAATCTACATACATTTCAAGAATATGGAATTTTGTTGCCTGTAAAATACGTTACAAAATACAAAATCTAAGTGCATTTCACGAATATGGACAGACAGACAGACATAATATGAACAGACAGGAAGTGAATCTTATTCCAAAACCAATACAATTCAATTCCCTGATATTTTCAAATTTTCTAAAATAATCCCTGTATCCAAAAAGGGTGATAGATGAAAAAAAAATGGCCAATGAGGATAATAAGTTCATTAATGAATCACAATTTGGCTTTCGCTTAACTACTAGTGCAGTTACAAGGGTTGTCAAGAGGCTGATTGAGGGTCTTGAACAAGGTCACCATATGGGTATTACTCTCTATGACTTGTCTAAGGCCTTTGATTGTGTTTCCCATGATATACTTGTAGAGAAACTAAATTATTATGGAATTAGAGGGGTAGCTCTCTCTCTTCTTGAGTCATACTTATCTAATCGATCTCAAGCAGTATTTTATAACAACAGTTTATCCAGTTTTAGAGATGTGAAATTTGGTGTTCCACAGAGTTCCGTATTGGGCCCGCTGTTGTTCATCATATATATAAATGACCTGAGTCCATTCTTATCTCCATATGCAAGTGTTCTATTTGCTGATGACACAACACTGATATATTCACATAAAGATTACAGCTCCCTGATCTCTTTAGCTGCAGATGCCAAGGGGAAAGCCGAAAGGTGGTTCACCGCAAACAGGCTAAAACTAAACAATGATAAATCACAGAACTTAATAGTTACCACTAATACATCTCTAGTAGTGGAAAATAATGTAGAGCTGCTAGGATTTATTTTGGATGAAAGACTCAGTTGGTCAAATCATATTCAGCAGTTGAACTTGAAACTGTCCAGCTCACTTTTCAACTTACGACAACTTCGCCTTATTACCAACACTAGTGCTCTTATAATCGCTTACTTCTCTCTTTTTGAAACCCATCTTAATTATGGAATATTGCTTTGGGGTAGCTCATCTGCTGCATGTAGTGAATTTCGATAACAAAAAAAAGAAATAAGGATCTTGGCTATTGCCAAGTATAGAGAGACTGCCTGACCACTGTTTGAAAAGTTGAAGATCATGACTCTTCCTTGTTTATTCATTTCAAGTACTCTTGTGGAGATCCATTAGGAATCTACCAAACTTAGTTACACAGTCTGATATTCATCAACATAATGCTAGAGGAGCATACAATATCAGAATACCCAGATATAGACTTATCAAATTGGCAAATAATTCTTTAAATTTTAGCTTATATAATATCCTTCCAGATGATCTAAAAAAGGCCAACATGTTCTGTTTCAAAAAAATTATCAAACTTTTTTTAATTGAAAATTCCTTTTATACACTAGATGAATATGAAGAAAAGGTGAAACAAGGTGGAATAATTTGATTTATGCTCACTGAGATATTATCTTTAAATTATTTACTCTTATATGTATATTCTGTTTATATTCTATTGTGGTAAATGTCTAGTTCTATATCTACTTAATGTTTTTATCCAATGAACAAACTTTTGTGACTTGCTACAAATATGCAACTATATATAAAGCGGTTAAATAAAGTACTTACTTACTTACTATTTATTGAATAAGTGTACACTTAGATATTCCAGTTTTAAGTAAACTCATAAAAACAGACAAAACTTTTAAAATAGACAAAAAATAAGAAATATTTGTTTTCCGATTATAATTTGATAATGAAATCACTCCGTTTTTGAAACATCTGCAAATATACTTTTCAGTTGAGTATTCACTGAAAATGGGAATTATTCAATAGTTCTATTTTTCGATATTATTTTTGGAATAACTTCTGAATGACACGGTATATAACTATGCAATTCTATATTTTTAAATGTACTTTTTCGGCGGAATTCTTATATGGATAGCAATGTATGTTTTTTAAAAGCTCAAGTGTAAATCTCAAATTATTTTTTGAATACCCAATAAATATAATTTCATAACTTTGAAATACCAGGGACTACCACTTACCCCGTATATTATTTGAAAAAAAGTCCTTTACTTTTACATGAAACATTATTTGATAATTCCACTCCTTCATCTCAAACTTTTAATGAAAGCTCAATTTGACCACACTGTATAAAAATGCATTGAACCTGAGAAAAAAATACTCACTTGATAATAATTTTGTATACACAATTGTTGGTTACAATAACACAGGTATCGATCCTGGGTTTTTGTAAATTCAGATCATCTACAGTCTTTGGTAACTCAAATAATTTATCTTTCTTATTATCGTCTCTACTTTTTCTTAACCTAACCGAAGACAAATCAACTAATTTAAATAATTGCAGGATTTTCCCGTCTTCAACTTCGAATTGTGCCATGACGCAGTCACCATTAAATTCCTGAAAAAAATACACAATTTTCACTCCAACCACTTTACAACCTGATAACCGATCGATGTCTTACAGAATCTCCTTCGAGCCTGCATTCGCACAGCTGCGAACTCAATATTGAAACAATGTTGGAGTCTTCATTGACGGTGTAAATCAATTTGTCCGTCAATAATACTGTTGAAGTTTTTTGTGGTAACTTGTGAACATATAAAGGAGCGGATTCCACATCTGCAGCATGTACCTGGAATTGAAGTACTTTTGAAACTTGCTGACGAGGAAGAAATTGAAGAGATCATCGATTCCTTTACTGGCAAAATTGATGAATGACTTCGTGGTTACTTGAAATCAAATGAATAGGTTTAAAAGATATATTATTTTCAACATCGAACTTGTCCAGCAAAAACTTTAAAATTCAAATTTCCGAGTTGAACAAATTTGTGATTAAATATGGACCTTGAGGTATCCAACACTAAGTCAGAAATATTTGATGCTATTATATATTTCCTGTTGGAATTTCTTTCCAATAAAATATGTAGACTCCTGTCTACAATCTAGCCCTCCGGTAATTCACATAACTCTTTCACAAATTTTCACTCAAAATGCTTTTTTAGGTTGCTTAGATCACTCACCGTAAGTAAACAAGTTGGCTTGTAAAAAGCTGAAAACAAATATCTATTCCTAGCGTACTGGGGCGCAAAGTACGTATCACATAAATGGGGTAGGAGTTCGGGTCCAAAATGGGTCGGCTCTGAATGAGAAGATTCGCTCGCAGTGTCACTCGTTTGACTATCTCTGCGACCTCCTCTCGCTTCAGATATTCTCTGTTTCAAGGATGCGAGTTTATCGATGCCGAGTAGCTTTAGGTTATATAGTCGGGAACGATTAGAATCGTCCGCCTGAAAAGAATGTATTTGAATAATACTGAACGGTTTCATGCAGTTGCTGAGTACCTGAGTATTTGTTTCCGGAGGCCAGAGGTATCCAGTTGAGTGATGCTCTAAAACTAATCTCCACTGTTGACCGCTAACAGCATTTATCTATAAAGAAAAATTCAATGTAAATTGGAAGATATATGAAAAATGAGAAACAAAACTTCCTTGTACACAAGTGGAATACAGTACAAAGAAAAGTATATTGAGGGACGACCTACTTTAAAACTATAAAATTTCAAATATTGCATATTATCAGTACTCACCAATAAAGAAACTGTATCCAAACTATTATCTTGGCACATACTAAGATACTTGACAGCTTCAGAAATAGTACAACTACCCAAACATCTACCATCGGTCAGGCTAACCAAAACAATGGCTCCATTTTCAAATCCAACAAGGGCGTTCTGATTACAGTCCAAAGTTTGCCACCAAACCACACTAGTTGGCTTAGATTCTGGCATTTGCACGTGTCTAGGAAAGTGTGTTATATCATTCAAAGCCCATTTGCAGTCAATTTTTTGCTTTCTATCAACTAAACTCAAAGCTGGAATGATGTATAGTGAACAGTCTAAAGCTGAAAAAAATTTAGAAACTCAGGTAAGGACAATAGATGTCTAATGATACAATATTACTGACATAACATGTAATGAAACAAAATGAAGAACTTATTTGTCGGAGAAATCACCAGAAGCTTTTTTAAAAAAGATCACACGCATTATTATGAAATAAGATAAACAAGAGTTTCCTGCGGGAGATTCTGATTTTATCATTAATTCCTCATAGTCCACAATCTTTTTGATAATCCCAAGTAGCTGTGCCATTTTTCAGGTGGATTGGTCGGTTGAATAATGTTGAATACATTTCTTTTTGTATGGAAGAGCTTCATCTAATTACCCTTTTACTGACTGACTTTGTCAGTCAAATATCACAAAGAACTACAATAATGCAGTTTTTGTAGTTAGCAGGTTCCATTAACAATACTTACAAACTACGAGCAGCCAAGAAGCCGAGGGGTCAAAACAGATTGCTTCAATTTCTTTGTGGCCATCTGTAAACCAAGGAACTCTTTTCAGGATAGGGGTCATTTCCCCATATGTATAATGTAAGACTACATCATTATCACTGTAAAAATTAAGGTATTAGAATCAATATTCTTGTAGTTTCACCTCCACTACCTTGTCACCAGGGCTAATATTTGTTTCACCCCATTTTCACATCTTGCACACAGTTTTATTTTTATATTTTGAAGAAGGGGTTGTATTTCAAAAATATCTTGGGTTACATCAAGTGACATGCTAATGTATTTATTAAAATTTTCAATTCATGTCATTATTTTCGTATCATTTCCTTCAAGATTGTTGATACAAAACATGACCTTTTGGCAACTTGACACTTAAAGCTGGGTTAATTTGATAGTGCAGGGTTGCTATGTCTAGAAGGGTTGGTGGTAGCTTTGAAGAAAAATTCCCACATTCGAACATAATAATTAAGAACTTTCATGGAAATCATCCCTCATAGTTTATTTTTATAAACTGAATACATTGTACATTTGGAATGAAGTATGACTTTTATTTTCCCAAATCATTCGGTTTTTCTCTTCAAAGCTTATATGATGTATTCCAGAAATTTGAAAAATATCAATATTGGCAACGTTCAATAATCATTGTGATTCGACTGTCAAGTCTCTCTCCCTCTCTGTTTCCTTGGCCGTTGCTTCTCACTCGAGCGCATTTGGCCAGATCCAGGTTCCTCCTGTTCATAGTGAACAGCGTCCGGGGGCGCAGCGATCTCGCTGAAGGCAATGCTGCCAACCTAAATTTTTGCATTCACTTCTTTTAACAAAAACACTTTACTTTTTACTGGTCGCCTCCTTCTCAGGAGGCCTTCAGATGAAAATAACACAAATACACCTGTTCATATATTCTAAAGAACTAACGACCTCGTGGAACTCGTCGACATCGCAGGGAGCAGGGAGCCACCAGTCCTTTCATCTCTTACTTCATAGCTTATTCAAACGTAACTCTATTTTAGATTACACTTCATTTCTAGCTTACACCTTTTGGACTTCACTCCGCTCATGACGTCCACGTGCCATCAACATGGAAGTCCAACTGTCAAATCAATATTTGACATTCAATGTTCAATGGAGCTGCAAATGTTATGACATTTGATTATGTTGACATCTATTTCTTTAGTACATACCTATTTTGAGTCATTAAGGCCATTTTGAATTATTATTGGAAAAAAAGAGAATTGTGTACAAAAACTGAATTGATCTCGATGAAGTTTTTCCTTTTGGCGATTAGATGTCAGTGTTCCCTGAATTGAATCATTTGCATTCAAACTAATTATCATTTCGGTATCGTTCATTGAATATCTCGAATCCATAGTTAGAAACATCTTATCAACATACATCATTATAAAATATAAGAACACTACTTTACTTTAATTTCCAAACATAAGGGTTAGGATATAAGCGCTAGCGCCACCTATTGTCATATTGTTTAAAATATTTAGAAGTGTGGAACATTCAGATTTTAATAAATAAAATGTGTAGTTAGATGGCGTCAATTATATCGATTTTAGATTTAAAATTAAATACAAACCCCAAACATTACTAAAACTTACCACAATACAAAAAAATTCAAAGATCAGAATGTTTTTTTATTTATTTGAATCGTTAAGTTTTTTAAATTATAGAACGCAATGAATCCATGAATGGATCAATTCGAACAATTGAACGACATAATTACTATACTGAAATGTCAGTTGAACTATTAGTTGTCACATTTTTTTACGTTTTTACTTTCTTCTACACCGATTATCTGGTCAACTTTCCATACTTACACGAAACTTTTGAAATCTAAGAAAAACATGGTGTACCCCCATTCTTACAGAACAGAGCACAGCGAGACAAAAACCACGAACTCTGTTTACGGGGAATACTACGAAGCTATGAAAAGCAAAAAAATCAAAATCCAGCCCGCTCTCTTAACTATACTGCAATTCATCGATTCCAACAGGATCGGCTTCATCGACGACCTGAAAGAAGCCGTCCAAATAAAGTCAGTTACTTCAAAGCTAGAGTACAGAAACGAAGTGAAGAAGATGATAAAGTTCACAGAAAGTTGGTTGAAAAAACTCGACATGAAATACGAATGCTTCAATATCGGGTTTTACGAGTTGGATGGAGAGAAAGTTAGGTTACCTCCTGTTATTCTAGCTTCTTTGGGAAATGATCCGAAGAAGAAGACCGTAAGTACAATTTTGGGTAATTATTCAGATTACGTGGTTCGCGTTTATAAAAAAAATATTGGACTTACGGTTGGCTCAATTTTTTCGGAAATTTCGGGTATAAAGCGTGTGGCAGTGAAGTTCGTTCCAAAATTGCTGAATTCGCACCAAAAAAAACGTCTGGATGGAGCGCATGCGAAACGTCCAATTTCCCATGACTCTGGCCTCTGTGGTTTGAACTTAAGAAAACCCCACAAGAAAAGGTCTAACGGTGCCAAATAGCACGATCTCGGTGGCCAATTCACATCACCTCTACTTGAGAAGATCATGCCAACAAATAGCTCGTGCAGAATATCCAATATGGCATGAGCTGTGTGGCATGTGGAGCAGTGCTGTTGAAAACACATGTCGTTGGTATCCAGATTATCCAATTCAGGCCAAAAGAAGTTGGGAATCATTAACCTATAGTACTCACCGTTGACAGTGATGGCCTGGTTCTCAAAGCAATATGAACCGCTGCTGCCGCCAGCCCAAAATCCACATCAAACAGTGACTTTTTCGGGATGCATTGGACGCTCTTGGATCTCATGTGGATTATTATCGTCCCAAATTCGACAATTTCTTTGTTCAACGTACCCACCCTTCCAGAAATGGTCAATGAAAATTAGGGTCAGTTGCCAACTGCTCCAGAACCCATTCAACGAACACACGTCGTTGTCTATAGTCGTTTTCCTTTAGTTCATCGAACAGTTGAATTTTTAAGTCAGGACGCAAGATTCGCCAAGTTGCACAGTCTCACAGACAGCGGTGATGTTTTTGACAGACCTTTCATTTTATCGATGTACGGGTGTTTTTCAAATGTATTCACCACATTGCGAATAGTCAGTCGATAGGTAAGAGGATTCAGTGGCGATTCTAAAACTTAAGGGCGAAGTGGGGGCACACCATAACTAGGCGCCAAGATTCAGTAGAAAGGCACAGGTATCTGAAGTAATACTATATTTCCCATTAAGAAAAGAAATAATATCACAAAACTCTAATAGAAGAATTATTTCATAAATAAACAATGCACACTATCAAAAAGCCAGCATACAAAACAAAACATTTTATTACCTCTTGGAGAGTATCTGTATCTGTAGAGTAGGAAGAGTGAGTGTAGATCCACAGCACTTAGGCCACATGTGACCCGTTGTACATCCTTCCGAGGAGTGGTCCTCCTAGGTCATCGTCCATCCTGTCCTTTCCAGGAAGGTGGACAGATCACTAGGAGACATCTCCTTTATATCAGCAGGTGTAGGCTAAGACTCGCCGAACACACACTCTCTTTGGCAACCTTGAGGCGTCTCACGGTGGCGTCCGCGAAGGTTTTGGAAGCTGCAGTGTCATTACTGTCGTTGCGCGGCTTCTTCAACCTTCTTGGGGTTCCCTCCGTGGAGGTGTACAAGTGAGGGAGCTTTCCTGCTGGGACAGCCGGTTCCTTGCCTTTATTCAAGGAGGCGCTTTTGGCGCACGCCGCAGGAAGTGCCCTTACTGTTGGAGGTGGAGTGAGGGAGGGGGGTGCACTTAAAGTTGCTGCCACTCCTGCCTCTTCCGCTCTCTTTCTCTTTTTGACCTCAGCGTCGCAAATGCGCTTACGCCTTGGCCTTTGTATTACATCAGGAGGGGATCTGCTATGTCCAGCCTCTTTCCAAGCGGTAGATTGGGGTGGACATTTCTGTTCATTCCCAGCCACACCGCCTTAGATTGAGGTGAGCACTTCTGTCCAGCCTCGGGATTGGTTTTTGTTTTTGTTGTTTCTGTTTTTGTGTTTGTTTCATTCATGTGTGTTGCCACGCGTAGAAAGGGAAGAGTTGGTCACCTTTGGCAGAGCCCCTCATTACTGGAGGTTTCGCACCCAGTTCCTCAAGGGGATCGTTTGTGACCGCTACCATTCAGCTGTCGGCATGATTCCTTATACCTTAGCTTGGGTAGGCTGGTCCACGGTGGCATGGTTTGCAAAGGCTTTTGGGGAATTTCAGTTCCCCTCACCCTACTTATTTATGCCACTGACCTGGAGATCGGCGACCCCATCCGTAAGGCCACATTGGCTTCCCAGACAGGACCTCCTGTCCCCTGGCCGTTCCCCTATCCGCCACCTCGGGACGCGCTCGATAGGAAGCCCAACCCACGGGCTCTTGGAGAGTAAACTAACCATTTACATACGCTGCGCTGTCCAAAAGTCGTTTTTTTAAGTCTGTACCAAGGAACGTAAAGTTTTCTGTAATTGGAAACTGGAAAGTCTTGGAAGTCATCTGATAACGGTTGGCAAGGTCCTTTTATAATTAGTTGACTCACTTTTTCAGGGATCAAAATAGTATTTTTGAATAAAAATGGGTCGACGACAAAATTGAAATATCAATTATAATATGTAAAAACAAAATGTTTTTCCCACCTTCATTCCCAGCAGACATCTTATCAGAATGGTCTTGTTCTTGAGTACCTACTATCACTATCCAAATCCGAATCAGCAAAACCTAATGAAAAATCGGATTTTGTTCTTACTTTATAGGTTGATGTAGATGAAACATCAAAAAATGTTGACTCCGTACTAACCGTGCTCTCCGTAGTGTCAGATTTATTTGGAACCGATTCCTCTACACGACTTTGAGTTTGAACTAATTGTTCTTTTGTGTCTCTGTAAATGTATGTTTCCATAATGAATACGATTTCGTATCTTCAACTGAAAATTAAGAACTTACAAATTGAAAGTTTTACAAAAATTTAATTTTGTTTATAAGAATGTGATGTAGCGGCATATTTTAACTTCTTCTTTTCGCGTAACTTTCGATAATCTGCTCGACAAACTGTTTATTCGTCAAAGTAACAATAACAAGCCAGACTACTACTACTGCTTCGAGTGCCACGCCGAGATACCTACAATAAATTTCCATCTCTTAGAAAATGATCACATTCGCTGTGAGGTACGTATTCAGCAAAAAAGCGAGTACGAGCGAACATGAGCGAACACGAGCAAACATACACGAATGCTCGCTCATGCTCGCTGGTGCTCCCTTTTTCGGTGAATACGCACCTTAATATTCTACTTTGATCATTAGCAACCCAGTTAAAGTTCCATTCAACAACTAAAATGAAACTGAATTCACGCTTTCCGCACTATATCTTCCCATGATGGAGTTCACAACATTAAAATCTAAAGGTGCGTGTTCACCAAAAAAGCGAGTTCGAGCGAGCATTCGTGTATATTTGCTCGTGTTCGCTTATGTTCGCTCGTGCTCGCTTTTTTGGTGAAAACGCACCTTTAGACAGCGAGCGATATGGGATTCACAACTGATCGAGGTCGAGGTATTGAAAGCGAATGTTGCCACGGTTATTGGTTTTTCGTGTTATTTACCTAACAATATATTTGTGAAATATTTAAAATCGGAAGGGCGCTAAGAACAACACTTTGCAAAGGGCGGGGGGGGGGGGCATGCTGCCCCCCTAGTGGCGCCGCCACTGAGAGGATTATGGAGACCGTAAAATTGTAGAAGTTCGGAACTCCCTTTACAGAAAAACAAAACAACTAGCACCTATCTTGCTATGGAGTGACAAGCATCTCATTTCAGGTCTGCGCATATCTTCACTTAGACGTTCCAGACCCTTCGGACCAGCCGTGGGACACTGATCCTTGGACGTTGACGAACATCAAAAACGTTTTCTATGGAAGTGGAGCTGCTTGTGGTAAGGGCCCTCTGATGGCGTGGTTCCACGTCATCCAGGCTTTCAAAGACTCCAATATGACTCTGCCCGTCAACTTAAAGGTCGTCATCGAGTCTATGAACCATCAGAACTCTCAGGGTTTCGCCGATTTTGTCGCCACCAGGAGCCAAGATTTTTTCAACACTGTGGACTATGTGGTGGAATGTGATTCGGAATGGTTGGGTGACAAGTATCCCTGTATAATTTATGGCACGGTTGGTGAGTGTCGAGCTTTTCTGAGTGATTCAATCAAGTACCAATGGTACTTAGTAGGGCAACGAATCTAACTTTTCAACTATCGTATCTTTAACAGGGTCAATTTTTTGTAAGCAACAAATTCTCCTCATCATGGGATTTACATATAACTTAAATCTCAATTGATCTGATTTGAATGACATTTTCAATGATTTGTTTTCAGAACACTGTGTACATCAGGAGTAAATTTTTCATACTGATGTTATTGTGTTGATGTTGTTTGTATCATATACCTACTCTTCTGGCAAGGTCCACTTCGAGAAGGGTAGCTTGTAAAATCCTCCAAAGCACGTTGGACGTTGTTCACAGTTGGTGCCTGAGGGAGCAGATGTCTGTCAACCCCAGCAAAACTGTGTTAATCCCCTTCACCAAGAGAAGGAAATTGGACGATCTAACGCCACTTTTCCTCAATGGTGGTCATTCCATTTGGAACGGAGGTGAAATATCTTGGCATTGTCCTTGATAAAAGACTCACCTGGAACGCTCACATGGAAAAAGTTTTACACAAAGCCAGAATGTCTCTATGGACATGTCAAAGGATTTGTTTGGGTTTAGGTCCCAAACAAATCCATTGGATTTATGTGATGATTGTCAGACCAATGATCACGTATGGTGCAATTGCTTGGTGGCCGAAGGCTTTACAGAAAAAGGCCCGAGCGAAGCTCTCTGGCTTACAGAGACAGGCTTGTCTGGCTATCAGTGGTGCCATCAGTAGCACACCGTCAGCGGCCATGGAGATCCTTCTAGATCTACCTCCTCTACACATTTTTCTGGAAAGAGAGGCTAGATGGACTGCATACAGACTTGTGCACATTGCCAATTGCACAAATCAATTCAATGCAGAGTGCAACAGACTGTTGGTTGACATTGGAAGTCACAGCATTCTGGAAATGACCTCTGACTTTATGCCTCCAACTGTCAACTACGAACTGCCTCATAAAGTACTATTTCCGAGTAGAGAGGACAGGATCCTGGGGGAGAAGGAAATATTAAGAGCAGATAGTTGTTGGTTCACAGATGGATCAAAAACACCTTCCGGTTCTGGTGCAGGTGTTTTCAGTCGCAGACCCAGGACAGAGTTATATTCCCGCCTAGGAACTTATGTGACTGTATTTCAAGCGGAAATTTACGCTATTGAATTGTGTACGGAGAGATTGGATAAATCCAACCTCACTCACAAGTCAATAAAAATATTCTCGGACAGTCAAGCGGCGTTGGAAGCTCTTGGCTCACACCGAGCAACGTCTAAATTGGTAGCAAACTGCCAAAACAGACTCTCCTCGGTAGGAAGACTAAACAGATTGCCTCTGGTCTGGATTCCTGGCCATACTGGCCTGGAAGGCAATGAATCTGCTGACTCTCTTGCAAAGGAGGGTGCTGCAAGCGGCTTCATTGGACCAGAACCTGTCATTGGCATCGCTTTGGGCTTTGCCAAACACTTAACACCTGGATGGCAAAAAGAGTTATGGACTTCTGGCAGAATCTTCCAGCATTGGCTCTAACAGGCCAATCTTACAGGTCACTGTCATTTGAATCATCACATGCAGAGACTTGGACTGTCGGAAGACAGTGTGTGTCGCCTCTGTCTGGTAAATGATGAAACTGCATTGCATATACTTTGTGCCTGCCCCGCTGGAGACCGAATCAGGTGCTTTGAGTTCGGCAGATCTGTACTCGCACCATCTGACCTGAAAGACCACTCACCATACAAACTAATCGGCTTCGTTAAGAAGCCAGTTTTTTTGTCCGAGTGTGAATAGGTGTGAGCCACAATAAACCCTTATGGGTTGCGGTGGAGGGTCGAATAGACCCACTCACTTTAGACCTACCTACCTACCTACTCTTCTATTTCACAATCGAACAAAAAATATATTATGCTTTGAATTGATTAATTTCAATATATTTTTGTTTATATCTTATGAAACATATTTTTAACAATGCCTTTGTAGATAAATTGAGTACACATTACTCCATGAAATAAAATTGTCTCCTACTGTTTTCATATGAGTCTTACAATCAGTTGATTCGTTGCAGGAATTTTGCATTTTCAAGTCACAATCGAGAAAAGTGAGAATTCCAAAACAGAAATTAAGGATGATATGGAGAACATATTCAAAGCTTTGGTTAACGAGGAGGGTACCCTCAAAATAAAAGGTTTCTATGATTATGTCGAGCAGATTACTCCAGATGAGGAAAAAATTTACGAAAACATCCAGGAATTCGATCCTGCTGAGATACGGTAAGCTTGAAATTGATTTTGATCCTGTTGAGATACAGTGACCTCGTTATCATTTTTAATCCTCCTGAGATAAATTTTGATTCTGCTGAGATTTGGTAAGCATGTAATTGATTCTGATTTTGCTGAGATTTGGTAAGCTTTTAATTGATTTTGATTCTGATGAGATACGGTCAGATTATAATTAATTTTGATCTTGCTGAGATACAGAAAACTTGTAATTGATTTTTATTCTGCTGAAATACGGTATGCTTGTGATTAATTTTGAACCTCTTAAGGAATGGTAAGCTTGTAATTAATTTTGATCCTGCTGGGATACGATAACCTTGTAATTGATACGAGATGCTGAGATACGATAAGCTTTCAATTAATTTTGATTCTGCTGAGATAGGGCAAGCTTGTAATGCATTTTGATCCTGCTGAGATACGGTAACCTTGTAGGTAATTGATTTTTTATTCTGCTGAGATATAACAAGCTTGTAATTAATTTTCATTCTTCTGAGATATGGTGAGATTTTGATCCTGCTGAGATATGGCAAGCTTGTAATTGGTTTTGATCCTGATGAGATACGGTAAGCTTGTGAATAATATCGATCCTGCTGAGATATGGTAAGCCTGTAATCGATGTGATCGCTTTTGATACGTGATCATTTGGTTGAAGAAATTCTAGCTTTGCATTGTTCTTTGAGAAGCTTTCGAGACTTCCATGTTATTTTTTCATTCATTCGAATGAAATATAAGAAAAAAATCATTATTCATCGAAATATTGACCTAATTTCGAATGTACCAATTTCAGAGAGTCTCTGCCTCCTCACAAAAGATCTTGGGACAAAGTAAAACTCCTCATGAGTTTCTGGAGACTTCCGTCAATATATGTAGACGATATCGAGGAATGCATCTGCGATAAAAAAGACTTTTTGATAATCAAGAGGAATTTCATCATCAAAATCGTCCCCAAGCAAGTGTGCGATAGAGTCGACAAGCTCACCAGACAACACATCCAAAATTCTGCCAAAAAACTGAACATCGAAAACAAAGTAACGTGTAAGTTGGTCGCGTCGACTAGACCATGGTATGAAAATTATAGATCGCCAAGCTTTGCGGCTGCTAGAAAAGCTTTCATACAGGTGAGGGGACAATATTTACAGAGAAATTTTACTTCTAAAGTGAAAACAAATAAGAATGTGACCATGACCCTTAAGAATGGCGTCGTTAAGCAACCTAAAAATGACATAAGTATGTTTTCTACTATCTGTTATTTCATTTAATTTAAGATATTGAGTGATTTTCTTACTGGTGTCTTTTTGGCAACACTGTTTTTGACAGATTACGCGTGAATCGTGTCTTGTGTCATTGTCAAACTTGTTCAGTTTGGTCTATAATTTAATCATGAATCTACTTACGAATGAAAACGCTTGCAAATTACTGAATTTTATTATCAAAATTCATAATCGGTGAAGAAAATGCATCGTGCACTTCGTCGTGCAGTTTCGTCGGCCTACTGAGGGAGTTATTCGGAAGTTTTAGACTAAATTTCGGACCCAGTTCACATTATTGGACATTAAACCACCAATACGCATACGTAGAGTGAGGACCGAAGAAAATATTGCGGCTGTATCCGCCAGTGTTCGTGATGACCGTGAAATGTCGATTCGCCGCCGTTCGCAGCAATTGGGCCTCTGTTACTCCACTACGTGGAAAATTTTGCGAAAGGATTTGGGTGTAAAACTCATTTCTGGTTGAATGGATACGTTAACAAGCAAAATTCACATAACTGAATGAAGACCAGCCACAAGCATTGCAAGAGCTACCGATGCATCCCGAAAAAGTCACTGTTTGGTGTAGATTATGGGTCGGTGGCATCATCGGGCCGTACTTCTTCAAAGACGATAATGGCCGGATTGTTACTGTGAATGGCGAGCGCTACCGTGTGCCTGACATGTGGTTTCAATAAGACGGTGCCACATGCCACAAGGCACGCGAAACAATGGCCCAATTGAGAGCCGCCTTCGGTAAACAGTTTATGTCACGTTTGGGGCCAGTCAATTGGCCGCCTAGATCTTGTGATTTAACTCCTTTGGATTATTTCTTGTGGGGTCATGGTAAGGCTCGTGTCTACAGGGATAAACCAGCAACGACTGACGCTTTGGAAGCCAATATTGAAGCATTTATACGTGAAATACCGGTCGATATGTTAGAGAGAGTGTGCCAAAATTGGACCTTGCGCAAGGACCATCTAAAGCAGAGCCGCAAACAACATTTGCATGAAATCATTTGCATGAATTATATCATTCGTTCTATCGATTCCAATAATGATTTCATCAATTTTTTCAAATTTTTTGTGTTGTTTTGAAAATCAAATCCTATACCTTCTAAAAAATCACCCGTTAGTTAGAAAATTGACTGAAAGAAAAATTAACTTGCGCTCGAGAGCAAACGAGCTTTTAGAGTTTTTAATTCAATTTGAGAGACATTTTTGACAAATGTCACTATTTTTCCCACGTTGTAGATTTCTGTTGATATACTGATGGTCTGACAAGTTCGTAGACTAACACACAGATGACGCTACTAGTAGCAAATACATATTATTTTTAGTTAACTCTAACCTAACATTTTGAGTGAGGCAACTGTTATTAGTCTGAAGAAAATGGATAAAAAGGAATTTCGTGTGTTGCTAAAGCATTGCTTTTTGGCGAAAAAATACTGTTGAAGCCAAGGCTGGGCTTGATAAACATTATTCAATTTATTACACTTTTCAGGCCAACGTGTTTTTATTTCGGATTTTTGTTAGAAACTACACTTGGTGTTTCTCAATGATATGCGAATATTCAAGAGTATAAATCTACATGTTGCTATATAGTTGATAAGTGATGAGTAATAGGTAATATGTAATGAGCAATGAGTAATAGGTAATATGTAATGAGCAATGAGTAATGAATAGTGTGTAATACGTAAAAAGTAATGATAATGAGTGTGTATTGAGGAATTAGGAATAAGTAATAAGTATTAGGCATTAGGAATTGAGTAATGGACAATGAGTAATACGTAATAAATAATGAGTAATGGGGAATAAGTAATGAGGAATTAGGAATAAGTGATAATCAATGAACAACGAGTGCTAAGTAACAAGAAATGAGTGATTATTAATGAGTAATGAGAAATTAGAAATGAGTAATGAATACTGATAATTGAGTAATGGGCAATGATTAAAAATGTATGTAAATATCTTTCGATTTGGAATCCATCTTTCTTTTCGCGATATTTTATATGGTTGAAAAACATCAAAAACAAGAGACTAATGACCATGTAGTCGAATTCATTGATACCATAAAATATCTTTTGTGAGTTCACTAGAAAATTCAAATGAAAGGACAACAGGAGTATTTTCTAGATTAAATTGAGTTGTTCATAGGATATCGAGATTTTTTTTTATTTCTCAGATATACAAAGAAGATCCGAACTTGATACGCGAGGACCGCGGAAGAGAAACTGCGACAATATTTGATAACGTCCTTGAAAAGAATATGATTATCCTTCCATTGTGCTCCAAAGGAACTAATTCTGGAGAAGCTAACGAGCATATTTCCAGCAGAAATTACTTCGAAGGGACCAAAGTTATTGCTGCCTACTTGTTCCAGATAGCTCAAACGAGAGAGGAGTAGAAGAGATTCAAACCCAGGGATTTATTTATAGATTTATCAGTTATAGATATAAAGGAACAATATGTGTAATTTATATTTTTTTAAATGTTTATTTTAGAAATGTCTTTTTTCTTTTAGGTGGCTCAGATTGTTTTGAGTGACATATGTTTGTTCTAGAATTTGGTAGATAAAAAGTCAGTTCATTTCTAGAATTGATTCGTGGAACATGAAAGTTGAAGTGGGAGAGTAGTTCGGGACAGTCAATCAGATTATTCACTAGTTTATAAATGAAAATTATAGAGTAGTAGGTTCTTCGGTTTAGAAGGGATAATAGATTAAATGTATTCAGTAGTATTCTGTTGTCGATGCCTTGTTCAGGGTAAACTCCTTCTAGCTTGTAAGTAATATATTTCATGCAGCCTCTTTGTATAGACTCGATTTTGTTTATGTGGACATTGTATATGGATGACCATATAAGGGAGGCAAATTCCAGCCGAGATTTGACGTTTGCATTGAAAAGAGTTAAAAAACTGTCTCTGCTACGAAAGTTCTTACAGTTACGATAAAAGAGCCTTAGCATCCGTTTGGCTGAGCATGTTATTGTGTCATAGTGAATGGAGAAACTCAGTTTAGGGTCAAATGTGACACCAAGATCCCTTTGATGAGTGCTTATTTGAAATATCCATGATGGTGGTTGGGGGCAAGTTTTATATTCGTAGAGATGTAGTTAAATTTGATCTGTGTGAATACTTTCCAGATGGGGATGTTAGAACCCCGTTTGTTATGATTACGGATGATATACGCTCATGTAAACGTAGTGTTTGCGAACGCTCTTTTATGTTTGTTGTTAAACAAGAATCGACTGGTAAAATGAGATAAAACACTTTTTTAAATTCTCGAATTTGTCGACTGCTCGTCTTATGAATGCCATTAAAACGAAATGCGGAGGGTGTTATGGGATAGTTAATACGACGGACGGACTGGCAATGCGCTGTATATAATTATGATCTCGTACCCGTGGAGATATCTGGTCACGATTGTGTTAAGTATAGTGTTTTGGTACACCAATAAGCTGAAGAGCGGACCATCAGGGCAAAGGATGTGGCTTGTACCGCGAGAGAGCCCATTGTGTGGTTTGTGCGGATACTGTATCGATTGGTACTTTATTGGACTTTTTGATGAGAGAATATACGGGGTGTGGAGAGATGAAGTTGAAGTGTTCGCGTGTTAAGCGAACATTAGAACAGTAGAAGGTTTGGTTTCAATAGAAATCTTGGAATAGCTATTTGTATAACAAGGGAGGAAAGTGTTACTTTTCCTCCCGAGAATGAAGTTTACTGCCCGACGCGTAGCTAATATTGATGTTTTTCCTTACTTGCGTTTCAAACAGCCATTATCATCGATCTTACAGAGGTTCTCAAACTTATTTTGTCTACCGCCCACTTCGAGAATTAATTATTTTCTAGCGCCCCCAAAATTTTTTACTTTACTACATCTTAAGAATCACGATCGCAGTAATTTTTTTGAAATTTAATTAAATTATGTGTCATGTGAAAATAAGACTTTCTGATGACGGGAATGTAAAACACCATTTTGTAATTTATTTATTTTATTTATACGGGATAAACCCCATTACAGTGTAAACATTTCACAGAAAAAAAGAACAATATAAAAATGTAAAACGCAAAATAATACGCTACGGAATGTTTCTGCAGCACACAACTATATAACATTATGAAATACTTTAGGATAAAGAATTAAAATTAAACTGGTTACTACCTTATGTAAACAATTACCAACTTCAATTATTCAATGATTGTTTAAAACGATCATAAGAGACATCAAAAATACTGAGGTTTTTGTAATCTACTAACTTTAGGGTTCTTTTCAAGGGCGTATGTTTGCCATAATTTGTATGATGGAAGGGTTTATGAAATAAATGGCTGTGTCTAAGATTCCTGTTTGGAACATGAATGTTGACAGATTCAAGTAATTCAGGACAAGTTATTAGTCCATTGAGCAGCTTGAATGCATAGCATAGAACTGCATGAATTCTTCTGGTTTGCAATAGTTTAAGCCCTATTTCTTGTAATATACTTACTCGAATAGTGATGGTACTGTATTTGAAGATCCAACTTGAGAGAACAAAATCTCAGAAATTTATTTTACACTCTTTCTAGAGACACACAGTGCACATTGTAAAATGGAGACCAAATGATACATGCATATTCTAACTTAGACACTACTAGAGCTAAATAAATCCTTTTTAATGCTTCAATGGAAAATCCTGAACAATGACGTAAAATAATACCCAGTGTTTTGGATGATTTCACACTCACTTGGTTCATATGGTTTACAAATTTGACTTGTTCGTCAAAAATGACCCCAAATCTTTTATAGAGGAAGTGTATTCTGAGTGCTGTTTATTCATGTTATTAAAACAAACATTTCAATTTGAATTTTAAAACTAATCTAATGTGAATGATGAATTTGATGATTTTCAACAAGTTTGTTAATATCAGGCTGGAATTTACTCAAAAACAGCCGTAAGTCACCGCGTTCGGTAATCTGCAACCGATTTCTCTTTTTAGTTAGAAACGTTGCCACAGCACTAAATCCACGTTCACACAAATACGATGATGGGAATGTTATCAAAAATCATTGAACGATGGACCATAATACAATTGCGGGATTGGCTTTTGTAGCTAAAATTATTGGTATCCAGTTTTTAATTTCATTTTTATTTCCTCGTTCGTTATCAGTTCTATGAGTTCTTCTTCCAGCTGAAAAAGGATCCAACACCCAGTCCGGTATTTCCAATTTTAAAATGTCCTGGAATCGTTCTGCGAAATCACTGTGGAGGTTCTCCAAATGTTGGCAGTAAACAAGCAAGTCGTCGATGTTGAAGCATACTGCTGACAAATTAGGGAAATTGCGAAACTCACGTCTGCTGATATTATTTTTGTATAAGAGCAATTTGGCTACAAAAGCAGCGATGATATTTTTTGTTTCAATCAAATTCAAGTCGTCACCTTGAAGTTGGAGATCGACATCATTAAATAATTTATACAGGTCTGTCAAGTACGCAATATCATTCTTTGAAGTGATGAGGTTGTCGTGCAATTCTTTGTCTTTGTTTTCCAAGAACTCTATTACAGAGTCAAATAGATTGTAAAATCAACTCAGGCAGTTACCTCTAGATAACGAACGTACTTCTGTGTGAACTAGCAATCGGTTGAAATCTTCATCATTAGCAACACAAAGCTGATTAATCAATCTGTCATTTAAAGAGCTGTTTCGGATTTTATTGACTGCTTTGATGAAATCAAATCGAAACGAATTGGTCTTTTTGATTCACAAGAATACTATAAAATTTAAACTTTTCAAATGATATTACTTATAAATAAATCGATGTTCCTATGAAAGTAGTTGTTTCGAGAGAGTTTTTTCTGCCAGTTTGTGACTGAAAGTTACTTCTCTGCATGATCTAGACATCATTGTAGGAAATTTATTTTGAAACGAATTGCTTTCTTCCTTACTTTGAAAGAATCCCACAGTTTTTTGTATAAAGATTGAGAAGTAGAAAGCCGAAACCTTTCTTTTCGAAAAATTAATCTCTCCTGAAAATAGGCCCTTTTCAATTAATATTTTATGAAGTTTCTTGAATTATCTTCCTTCTGACAACGGCACAAAACAAAAGTCATTAAAACTATTAAAATTATAATAATCCACGGTCTACTTGTTCATTTCGCCAAACGGTGAGCGCGCAAGACCTTTTACTTGGCAGATACATTTAATATAATTTCATTTTCGAAAAAATAATTCACCTGATCGAAAAAGATTACTCGGCAAATTATTACCAATAATACTAGTCATCTTGTTTCAGAACAATCTTCTCAACCGTTGCCGTATAATTTATTGGAGCACTAAATTCTCAAAAGTTAATATTCATTACCTACTTTCCCGTTTAGCATTGTTGTAAATATTCTGTATCGAATGTTTAATATCGAATAGAAGCAGAGGCGGGGAATTTCACTTCGAACGAATATATTGTTTGGTGGAGGTTGTGAAAATTTATGTTTTCTCATCTACACTTTTTCCAGTGGGTGTTCCATGATTCATCAACAAATATAAGTTTTTGTCTTCAATTTTTCAATTGTCAATAATACATAATATATAATGAAGCAATATGTTGCTGAAATTGGATAAAAGCAATGTAGGTATATTGTTTTATACCGTTTGATTCCTATGACGTAAGACACAACCAACTAATAATGTCTGTTGAAAACAAAAACTGCCTCTGACGGGTTCCATATTTCAACTGATTGAACCAAAAATACTAAGAAAGGACACCATATACCTATGATACATAAAATCAGACTCCAAAAACAAAGCACTCATGATCTAACACCAGGCAGCGTTGTTTTGGTCTCATCAGCACTCGAAGCTGACAGCTGACACTTGAATAATTGAATGCACAGTTAATACGTTATGGTCTTAGTAGCTGAGGCCATTACATGATGAAAGAGAAGAAGACTATTTTTGGATATTTTCATTCATATCTGAAACCATATAACCTCCAATATCTTGAAACCGAAAGTCTCGACTGTCTCGAGTATTATAAATAATTTGGAACAAATTACAGTGGAAATGGAAGATAGTTCATCTGATTGTAGCTTGGGCGAAAGAGCTACCCAGTTGAAATTTACGGGAACGGGACATGTTCAAAAAAATACAAAAATTCTCGAAAACCAACTTTCTCTCAAAATTAGGGTCATGATCACCTTCAGTTCCTGAGTCAGTTGAATTTTGTATGGGAGCAGGATAAATGACAACTAATTTGACAGATGTAACTTCAACAAGATGGCCGTTACCAATGGGCTTGTTTCATGATTTTTGGTTTATAGTTCACTTGACAGAAATTTTAAATTGAAAAACAGTGCACTTTGTTTCATCTCTCTAAATGCCGTAGTTTTCCCGCAATTAATTAGTAAAATTCGAATATGGTAGGGAGGTGACGTCACGACCGCTTCTTGTTCGATTGACCAATAGAAACAATAAAAATAATCAACATTGCCAATTCGTAAAATTTACGGAACCTATAATTATCAATTTC